GGTCCCAGAGTGGGGACCGCAGATGGGTCCTTGACATATATTGCAGACAAGACTTTTCAAGATGTGCAGAGGCACAAGCCGTGATTTATTCAGGAAAGCAAGGAGTACACATTCAAGGGAGATTGTGGGTGACCTTGAGAGTGACATGCATTTTTAGGGTCTAAGGGTTTTTTTTTTGTTGTTGAACCCAGGGGCACTTAACCATTGAGTTATATCCCTAGCCCTTTTTTATTTTTTATTTTAGACAGGGTCTCACTGAGTTGCTTAGGGCCTCACTAAGTTGCTGAGGCTGACTTTGAACTTGCTATCCTCCTGCCTCAGCCTCCGAAGCTTCTGGGGTTACAGGCGTGCAACATCACACCAGGCATGGGCTCCTCTTTTTAAAGGAAACCTTGTGAAGGGTAAGCATGGGAAAGTACTTGGAGATGACACCCTTCTGGTGGTCATAAGATGGTTTATGGTAGTCTGGTGACTCTCAGGATATTTAAGTTAATGTCTCCTCTACCAGGTCAACAGGTAATATTTGGAATGTACCCTGTATTATAGATTTCTTTTTTTTTCACATCTTCATACATGTACTTTGTATAATGATGACCCTCTCCTTCCTGTATCTCTTTTTGAGGTACGATAGAAGACATAAAAATAGGTAGAAAGGAGACATGAGGGTCAATACAGGAGTAACCACTATTTAAACTCCAGATCTGATAGTTACTTTTACATATCTTGATCACAAACAGCACAATTAAATCAATCATTAGACTTTTCCACAGGTACACTAATGTAGCACTGTTTTCACAATGTAGAACATGTAGAAAACAAAGAAGAAAGTGACCCCCCATCCTTCACTCATTTCTAACGATCAACACATCAGTAAATGACCCCCATCCTGATAACGTCATGTCTGGAAATGACCCCTTCTGTCCTGGTAATTGTCAACACACCCAGATACCAACACAAAGGAGAACGAAAAACACACTATTAGCTCTTGTCCCTTAATATTGATCTTATGTGTATAAATATGCCCAGCTGAGATGGAGCTGGCCTGTTCCTCTCCGATGTCCACACTCTATCCCTTCTCTCAGAGTGTGCATGCCTTTCTTTCCCTCAATATATTTAATCTGTGCTTCACTTTGACCAGTCCTGAGGTTCCTCTGATGTCCTTGCGATGATGTCAGGGATACTCACACCCTGGGTTTGAGGTCCACCTCTCAAACTCAGGGTGTGAATATTAAGACCTTTGTCCTGGTGAAAACTTAACTTGATCTATTTTAAAAACATATGTGCTAGTACATTACATGGGCTGATTAACAGTGCACAGGGCAATTTTTATTAATGAGTGGAATTAAGTATCTTTAAGATTTGTAGATTTTTCAGACATTTGGGAGTAACAAGCCTGGGATAAAAAGTGATCTGGCAGTGAAGGGGCTGGAATGAGGAACTTTAACACAGGGTTTACAGATGAAAGTTACAGCTTCCTTTTGTCTCCTTTCTTACAACATTTCTTTTATCCTACCTCACATTGATCCTGCAATTGCACTCAAATACAGACACAAGAATTGTCACAGCCGCACACCTGTAAAGCAAAATATAAATCTGGAACAAACTGTCCAAAGGAGATGGACATACAAATCGGGACAAATTCATACAATAGGATATTCTACTGCTTAAGGAGCATGCATGCGCGCGCATGCACACACACACACACACACACACAGGAATGATAAGCACCAAGTCTGGATAGTTAGTTTGGAGAGTGGGAGGAATATACACGGGAAACTGGATGAATATTGATTGTAAGCTGGACCTTGCTAACGTCACTTATGACTTGTTTTGAATTCTGTAGCCCTTAAATACTACATGGTCTACATTTCAGGAGAAAATTTTAATATTGAAGAATAGAATGGAAGATGGAGTGATTGAATCCAGGAAGTTTCAGCATAAAGCAACTTTTCTCAAGTGCGTTACAAAGCAAAACTAAACTTGCCCACCTGGAGCCTCTGTAAAAGAAATTTCATTTGAATCTCTCTCTTCCCCTTTCTCATTGGCAAACCATGCTATCCAGCTTCAGGGCAACCGAGAACCTGCAATAAATGTTACAGTTTCTTCCTTTTTTTTAATTAAAAAAAATTTTAAGTAGCATGTATTCATTGTACATATGAATGGTGTTCAGTGTGATATTTCAATACAAATACAGCATGAGTTGATCAAATACAGGTTCCCTTCATCTACCTCATTATCAACCCACTAGTTATTATTCTACATTCAAGTTGATTTTTAATTTTTTTTTAATTCCACCTATGAGAGGGAACATGCAGTACTAGTTTTTGTGTGTCTGGTTTATTTCACTTAACATAATGTTGTTTTTCATTGCAAAGTTTACAATCGCCAAATCAGTTCTGTCTTCAAAAACCAAACAATTCATTCTCCATGTATCAGAAAATGCATGTGACCATCCTGGAAAGTATAATCAGATCCTTAAAGTCACTAGCAAAGTGTAATGTCAGTAAGGTCCAGTAAAAACCAGTCACTATGGGGGGTTCACTGTCCTAACCTCACAAACTTTGTGGCATCTACTTCAAATGGAATAGGTGTACATGCCAGTCCTCACACCACAGAAACAAGATAGGACACAAGAGTGCATATATTCAGGAGGTACAAATGGAAAAGGAGCATAAATAAAGAGATTCGGAAATAATCTGCAACACTGCTCATGGCAATAGTTCTGTCATTAGAGAAAAGTATATCACTGGAAGAGGGTCCCAAGGAGTTCCTCAAGAGTGGAAAACTCGACTCAGGACAAGCAGGGTCCTTGACATACAACAGAAAAAAATTTCAGCACATGTTGGCAGAGACAGAGGGTTTTTGTTTGTTTGTTTAAAGCAAAGAATAGACATTCAAAGGAGAATGTGGGACATCTGGAGATTTGAGAGGCATGTTTTTGGGTTCCTGACTCTTCTTTTAAAGGACACTCCACAAGGAGTAATATGGAAGGTATAAGAGGATGACATTAGTCTAGTGATCTTAAGACATTTTCTGGTCTTCTGCACATTCTGAGGAGCCTTAGTTTGACACGGGGTCTCCATGATCCAATTCAGTAAGTAACATTGAAAAGTCCCCTAAATTGCAGGTTTTTTTTTTTTTTTTTTTTTTTTTTTAAAATATGCCTGTATGTCTCTTTAACAGTACACGAGACAGAGTTACAGATTTCCCAGATATTTGAGAGTGACAGTCCTGAGAAAGTGAATGATTTGGGGAATGGCAGGCCTGGAAAATATGTTAAAATTATATTTTCTTTATGTCTCCTTTCTACATAATTTTATTTCTTCTATCCTGCCTCAGTTCTCTATGCGAATCACATTATTTATAGTCACATCTTTGTTTTGCTTAGGGCGAAGACAAACCCTGAATATGTACAGACAAGGCTCATTCAATGCTGATGTTAGGGGAAAATAATAAAGATATTCATTTAGAGCTTAACAAAGAAGTTCTCTAAGTGTGGGAGACTTAGGAGACTCCCAGAGACCCTTTAAAGAGATCTGTGAAATCAAAACTCTTTTCATAACCATAGTAAGACTTCATTTGACTTTTTAAATTCTCACTAGTGTAAGGTGGCCTTTTTCATAGATGACATGATATATTATATCATGAGACTGGATACAGAAGCAGATGGGATGATCCACTTAATCTTCTATTAAGCCAGATACTCAAAAAATTTATAAGCATGTAGAGCAATCACACTCTTCTCAATAAGTTTGTTTTTGATAGTATAGTCATTTTCATAAAATGCATATATTTATTTCAACATGCAATAGGGCCATTATTTAAAATTAATGAGAAAGTAAGTATTTTAGAGTTCTTCTTTATGATTTCAAGTATAGTAATATTGGCAGGCATAACCCACACAAGCAAAGGCTTTGAAATTCTCAATATTTTCTAGGTGTAGATGCTTTGCTGTTAATGCAATTACTGCATTCTCTCTGCTCCCATGGTTGCTCTTTTATTTCCTCCTCATTCTCTTTAATCCCAGGAAGACCACTAGAAATAGCTTTGCCTATGAATCCATTGAATGGAAATTACAATTTAAATTTTTCTCTTTCAGTGCCCATGGGATAACTTGGGAGTGACTCCTGATGGCCAAGCTAACAGGTCCCTGTTGACATGATCTATTGAGAAATTTTTAGGCAAAAGTCTTCAGACTCAAGGGTATGGAGGATTACCATGCCATGCCTGCTTCACAGAAGTTAAAGGGCGTGACTCAGGCAGATTAAGAACATTCCTTAGAAGCCATTGGGTGGCTTCCAATTGCTTCCATATAGGCCAACGCAGGGCGTGTTAATAACTGCTCACATGGGATTTGAAAGAATGAATAGTTCATTTATAGAGACGATTTGGAAGATTTAAGTAGACATTCCTAGTGATGAAGAACTTGCTGTCTGCTGGGTAATCAGGCAAAAAGGATTTTTTAACCCACTTCCCCTTCCTTTCTGCCCTCCACTGGGGAAGATAGGCCTACCCCTCCCACGGAGGACAGGAGGTGCCAAGGAATTAAAACGCCTTGACGGGGTTCGGGACCTGTTTTCTCTCTTCTGGGACCTGCTCACTCGGATTTCGCAGGCAGGTAGACTGACCGGGCCAGGCGCAGGTGGCGCGCTGACGGTGGGAAAGGTGTGGAGTGACAGATGACACAAAAATGTGCACGACTGGGAGGCCAGAGATCAGGACTCCCGGGGCGCTCCCCGACTGGCGGGGCTGCCTTGGGGAGGCGACCCGTGACCTGGCCGAGGGGTCGAGCCTGCGTTATCCCTCAGGTCTGGTGGCGGTGTCGCTCAGGGTTCCTCCATCCTTTCCTGCCGGCCCTTGCCAGTTACGCCTGCGCTGGCTTCTGCCCGAGGAGTTTGGGGTTTAGCTTCAGAGCGCCTGGACCCGGCAGATCACGGCCGCCCAGGGGAGGCTCCCGGGGCGCCACGCTGGGGACCCGGGGAGACGGCCGGGCGCGCTAGATGCCGACCCTGCCTCGCTGCCAGGTGGCAGAAAGGGACGCCACCAGGGAGCCTCTCCCCGCGCTCCCGCATTCTCGAGCTCGGACGTTGGGAGTAAGAAGGGGCAGGGAAAGGGCCAGTTTGGGGGAAAACGTGGCGAACTTCAGGTGAAGTGGCCCGGGTCGGGGGTCTCTGGGATTCCGAGGGCTCTGAAGCCGGAGAGGGGTTTGGGGGCGCGGGCGCCTGCGCCGCGCCTTGTCCCCCGCCCAGCTTCTTCTTCCTTCCCCGCAGCCCAAAATGAGGACGCCGTCCTGGCTGCTCTGCGGAGTGTCCATCGCTCTTCCACTTTTTGTCCGAGCAGGTACGTTCTGAGTCATCGGGTCTCAGAGGATGCCCACCAGGGTAGCCAGTCACCGCTAGCCCCCCTGGGCAGACCTCCTGGGGTGTGAGCCTTGTGAATTACTCTGTCCCTAGAAGGCCCTCCAGAATTCCACAGAATGGGGAAATGGCAAAGCTGTAGACTCTAGTTATCTGATGCCCAGCCCCCCAATGTCACGTCGGAGCTTCCAGGTTATTCTTGGGATGGGAAGAAGTGAGATCAATATGCAAGTCAAGATTTGGGTGAAAGTGCTTAAATGGAGGTAGTACTGTCTACTTACAGGACAAAGGGCTATTTTATGATCCAGGATTAAAAACAAAGAAAACTTCAACAGAGCAAATTTCTAAGAAAAATCTAAGTAGCTTGGTAAAAAAAAAAAAAAAAAAACAACCCATTTTTGGGGTGGGATACCTTTTACTGAAGATGTAGTAATTAGGTGGCAGAGTAAAAAGAAAACAGGACCAAGTGGGTTCCCTTACAATGAGGAGGAGGACAGAAAATTAAGTCTAAGGGAAAGAAGGAAATCATTCCAAATAGGAGAGGCCTTTGTGAAGAAGGAACCCAAGATGGATAGGTTTGATGAACTTGGAATTATGTTTTCGAATCAGTAGGCTATTGATGTGTTTTTTTTTTTTTTTTTAGAAAACTCTCAGATAAAATTTCAAGTTGACTAGAAAACTGAAGAGGTGTTCATTAACACTAATAATCAGCACGACTCTTGTGTCCCCCTCCCCCATGGCTAATTATTCTTGCTTTTTCCTTTCTTTTCCTAGATACTTGCAAGGACACGGATATGCATCATGAGGCAGCATCAGCAGACCAGCCCTTTGCCTTCAATTGTACAAACCCTCCGCTCACATATGGGGAAGTAAATGTAGTGTGGTACCGTGCTGCTAGCAAAGCCCCCATTTCCAAAGACAATCAGTCTAGAATTCACCAGGAACACACCTGGATTTTGATTCTTCCTCTGAAACTGGAGGACTCGGGCATCTACCTATGTGTTATAAAGTAAGTTCCTCATTTAAAGTGGAACTAATTCATATGAATCTTTCTCTTTATGTGTGCATGTATATCTTTTAATAAATTTTTAATAAACATAGAAAATGCAATCAAACAAATAATATTGTATAGTTTTATGGTTGTTATACAATGATTTCCAGTGAACACATTTTAAAATACGATAGATTTGTAAACCATTATTAGAACATGAAATGCTTTTTTCCTATTGAAGTGAAGCCTCAGGCCAGACCAACTTACAAAGTGTGTTTATTAGTATAATATTAGTATAATATTATTGTTGCCATCTTTCTTGGAATGCCAAAAGTTTTTGTGACAAGCGGCACACCCGGATAAGGATAAACCTCTTTCGAGCTCTCTTCATAAAGGATCTGTTTAAGGTGAGGATTTAAAAGTCAGTAAGCATTAAGTATTTTCCAAACCCACACAAGGTGCTGTGCTAGGAAATAAATTGATAAGGGACACAGGTCTGGTGGGACTTTTGAATTGTTTCCTATTTTTGGACATTTGAAATAAAGGCGGAAGGAGACCACTGAGCCTAGAAGGGCCTGTGGTCAGCTAGAAAGGGCATATGCTACCAAAGGTAGCTGTCTATTTGAGATTTGAGTGTGTGTGTGTGTGTGTGTGTGTGTGTGTGTGACTTTTCAATTTGTAAAGCTCTGTGAGATGTGAAGGAAATCCATTTGTGGACCACATTTGATCAAAGGGTCATAATTCCGTGATTCACTCTAACTAACTTGTATGATAGTAATACATTATTTGATCTTTCTGCAACTTGGATCAGACAGACAGACTCAGGGTACAGAACGGCTGACTGAGTGGTGTACAGTGGAAGTGGTCAGTCACCGCCTGGCTCCTTTCCCCAGCGCTGGCCACTAGGGGTCTGCTGCTGAGGTCTCATGGAACTCTGCTCTCCTGCTATAGTCTAGGCTGTGACTTATAACTGCAGTTGGAGATTATGTGCCACACAAATTACTAGGGATATTGGAGCCAGATTTAAAACATTTAAATCTGGAAGTCATGAAATGAAGAAAAATCATCTTTTACAGAAATTAAACAAAGATATTATTTGTCGTGGAAAAGAATAAACATGAATTTTCCCAGATCAGTAATATCCATATATAATATGGATATATTTTTACTTTTTACCTTGAAATGATTTCAAAGTTACATAAAACTGCAAAATAATATAGAGAAATCCTATCTACCCTTCCTCAAGAGTTCTATTTGTATAAGAATATTTTCCTTATAATTTTCTGTCTCCACATAATATCTGTGTATGTGTGTATTACACACAATATTTTTTCTAAACCATTTCAGTTGTACATAGCATACCCCTTTTGCTGCATAATATTTAAATGTATATTTCTTAACCACAAGGATATCCCCTCACATAATCATAGCGTAGTTACCAAATTCAGAAAATGTAACCATACATACTTTAACTTGTTGTTTCTAGTCTAATCTTATCAGGGGTCCTATCAGTGAACTGTACAACTTTTTCTTTTCTTTCCTGAAACGAATTCAGTCCAAGATTATGTAATGCATTTGATTGCATAAACCTTTCATCTCTTAATCTGAAGGAGTTCCTCTATTTTTCATGACTCTGATATTTTTAAGGAGCACAGGGAATTAGTTTATTATATCTCGCTTCCTTTGGGTTTAGGTTTGGGCGTGTTTCTTTGGCTGGGATCCTGGGTAAGTGCTCTGTGTTCTCTGCGGAGAAATGCATGGTGTCCATTTTGCCCCTCCGAGGCTGAGTTCAATTTGATCTCTTCCTTAAGATGTTGTCCAGTTTCTCTACTGTATACATGTCATCTGTTGTTGGGTCATCAATGTTTTGTAGGCTGCAAACTGTTTCTTTTAAGAAAGGATTGGTATGGTGACTTGAAAATGATATGAAAAATGAGAAGATGACCTGAATCATTTGATTTTGTGGTTGCTTAAGACTGTGGGTTTCAGCCTGCTGTTTTCTTACAGGAATGCCAACAACTGTGTCAGAATATGGATGAACCTAACTGTTTTTGAAAAACATTGGTGTGATAATTCCAGAAGGAGTCTACCCAACTTATCAGATGACTACCAACAAATATTACGTATCGGACCCAGTGACAGTCTGACCTGTCATCTGTACTTTCCAGAGACTTGTGTTTTGGGTCCAATAATGTGGTATAAGGTAAAAAAAAAAATCCTAATGATATTTTTTCCTCCTTTTAAAAAAAATCCATTTGATTTTTCTAGATGAAGTTGGTTCTTTTAAGGCAGATTGGGAAAAGAGATTCATGTGCCTAAGATAGGTCTGTTAGTCTTAGCTATCGATATTATTACTTTGCTAATTAGGTAGTATTTAAACTTTCTGGTTATGACTTTGTAATGTCTTATTATTTGTATCATCCATATCCCTGCAATTATCCATATTTTTCAGGGTATCATTTTTCCCCCTGACACTAATTTGTTCAAATGGTTGCTGTATGAAAGTGGGTCAAAGATTACAGATTATACAGAGACCCCCAGGGAATGCCTTTTCTCACTCCTCCTCCGGCACTCTCATGTAAGGCCACCCAGACACACACCTGGGCATAGTCTCGTGCTTCCATGTTTATGCAGACAGAGCCTCCTGTGCTCATCTTTCGGCAGCTCATGTTTTTACCTCTTTTCATGACTGTACTGGCACCTGCCCACTTGGAAGGCAATCCTCGGCTTGGAGGAGCACAGGCTGGTTATTTTAGTTTGGAATTACTTTTTCCTAACTTCTTGGTTGTACTTACCAGTACGGGACGGAGTTTCCTTTATGGGAGGGTTTTCGTCTCGTGATTCTTTTTTTTTTTTAGTGGTAAGATTGAGTCAGTTTCAGGAAGATCTTTTTTTTCCTAAGAAAATGCTCATTTTGTTCATGATTTTATACATATTGGAACATTGTTTTTCATCTCTTTCCATGTCTGCTTCTGCACTGAGTTCAACTTTAGTTCTTGTTTCTCTCCTCTCTCTCTCTTTCTCATACACACACACACACACACAAACATAAGTATTGCATTTCACAAGAAACTTGTGAGTTCAGGCTTTTCAAAAAGCTACCTTTTGCTTTTGTTGATAGTCTTTATTAAATTTCGAATGTTCATTTAGGTTGTTTCTATTTTCCTCTTTATTGAGAAATGTGGATATGAATATCTTCATATCGGTCTTCTAGTGGACATTTGACAGCATGAGTTTTTCGGGGTACATGATCACCAGCTCCAGAGAGACATATGAGTGAAATGTTCTACTTTATTGATGTCAAATTACTCTACAAAGTTTTACATCAGTTTATATACTCACCAGGATTCCCTACAACCTCATGTAGGACTTTGTATTGTAAACTTTAATTTTCTACAAAATAAGTGAGTATAAAATATCTTCTTATTGTTGTTTTGGTTTGCTTTTTCTTAGTTATTAGTGAGACTGACAACGTTTTTCATGTTTGATTACCATTTCTGAATTTCTGCTTCTTGGTGACTTATAGGATATTTGAGATATTTCTGTATCTTGGGTACTGGTGTTTGGCATGCTAGCCTGCAAATACTGTGCCTCCCTGTTTCCAAAGATCGATTTTCCTCTGACTTAACAGCTTTACAGATTGTATTTGCCAGTGTTTGAACTTTATTTAATCTGAATCACATTATGCATAGTATTTTGTGTACAGTTTCTGTAAATTTATAGTAAACCTGTGAGGATCAACCATGTTGTTGCATGTTCCTCTAGCTGGTTTTTTCTTTTCCATTAATTTTTAAGGGTCAAATTTAATTTTTCCACGTGGATTTATAGTTCACCTGCCCTTTCTACCTTGCTTGGCACACCATTGCTAACTTAAATCTGATTGCTATTTGCATGTGGGTATGGTTGGGAACTCTCTGCAGTGTCCTGTAGAGCATTGTTCTGTTTATTCTTGTTAGTTGTTGTGACATTGGGCAAGTCTTATGAGTTTTAAGTCTTCTAAACTTTTCTTTTTCCCTAAATATCGCTTTGGCTATTATTGCACTTATACACAATTTTATAAACTACTTGCTAACTTTCACAAAAAAAGTTTTGGAATCTTGATTGTAATTTCACTGAATTTATAGTTCAGATTTGACATGTGGTAAAGTTTCCTTTCTCATGTTGTGTCCTTCTCCTTTTGGGTTGTCTTCTCTTTTGTAGTTCTTCAAATTTTTATTAAAATTTTCGAATGAGTGTTTGGAATTTCACAAAAAACAATGTTTGAGTATCATTGTGATTGAAGTGTAAGTAAATTTAGCATAGATCGATATCTTTACAATTTTGAGTCTTCTAAATGATAAACATGGCATATCCCTCCTTTTGATTTTCCTTAATGTAATTTTTCATAGAACGGTTTTATAATTTTTCTATGTAGATGTCTGACATTTATTTTGTTAGCTTTATTTCTGGCAACTTGATGTTTTTAAATATGGATTTTGTGTTCTTATCATCTGTTCATTGCTGAAATGTAGAAACACAATTTATTTTTGTGCATTGTCCTTCTATCTAGCAAACTTGGTAAATTCATTCATTTATACTAATAATTGATCTGCAGAGTCTTTTGGATTTCCTACACATTCAGTCATGTTTTCAGATTAATGACAGTTCACTTTTCATTCCCTCCCACCCTTCCATTCTTCATTCATTCATTCCTTTTGATCATTGCAACTTCTATGTCTTTTCCTTTATTTTATTAGCCAGGATCTCTGAACACTTTGGAAGTTATTACATTCCAGGGTTATTACTTTATTCTAGTAGATTATAGACATTTGACATTTATTTTGTTAGCTCTCCAAAAATGGCAACTATAGCATTTTTATATCTTTATACTGGAGGAAAATTTCCCCATTAACTGATATTTAAGATACTAACAAATGTCTTTTATGAGATTAGGAAAATTTCCCTAGTTTACTTAGATTTTTATTAGTTATTGGGGCCAAATTTTATAAAACACCTTTTTACTTTCTGTATGATTTTTCTTTTTATTCTGCTAATGTGTTGAATAACAAGGCTGGTTTTTGAATGTTGTACCAATTTTGCATTCGTGTATATAACTCAGAATGGTGTGTGATTCTTTTTATACATTTCCAGGTTTGGTTTGCTAATATTTTGTTCAGGATTTTTGCATCTATATTGTAAGTGATACTGGTCCATAACTTTGGTTTCTTGTTAAGTCCTTGTCAGATTTTGATATGAAGGATTTTCTGGTATTATAAAATAAGTAGAATTGAGGCATATGGGTTTTTTTTTTAATAGAAAAATTCTTAAGATGGGTTTCATTTCTTTTTTTAATTTTGAAATTATTTTTTATTTATATATGACACAGGAATGCATTACAATTCTTATTACACATATAGAGAGCAATTTTTCATATCTCTGGTTGTATACAAAGTATATTCACACCAATTCATGTCTTCATGTATGTACTTTGGATAATAATGACCATCACATTCCACTATCATTTCTAACCCCATGCCCCCCTCTTCCCCTCCCATCCCTCTGCCCTATCTAGAGTTCATCCATTCCTCCCATGCTCCCTCTCCCTATCCCACTTATGAATCAGCCTCCTTATATCAGAGAAAACATTCTCCATTTGGTTATTTGGGATTGGCTAACTTCACTTAGCATTATCTTCTCTAACTCCATCCATTTACCTGCAAATGCCATGATTTTACTCTCTTTTATTGCTGAGTAATATTCCATTGTGCATATATGCCACGTTCTTTTTTTTTTTTTTTAATCCATTCATCTACTGAAGGACATCTAGGTTGGCTCCACAGTTTATTGTGAACTGTGCTGCTATAAACATAGATGTGGCTATGTCCCTGTAATATGCTGTTTTTAAGTCCTTTAGGTATAGACCAAGGAGAGGGACAGCTGGATCAAATGGTGGTTGCATCCCAATTTTCCAAGGAATCTCCATACTGCTTTCCTTATTGGCTGCACCAATTTTCAATCTCACCAGAAGTGTACTAGTGTGCCTTTTCCCCCACATCCTTGCCAACATTTATTGTTGTTTGTCTTCATAATAGGTGCCATTCTGACTGGAGTGAGATGACATCTTAGAGTGGTTTTGATTTGCATTTCTCTAACTGCTAGTGATGATGAATTTTTTTTTTTATGTATTTGTTGACTGATTGTATATCATCTTCTGATAAGTGTCTGTTCGGTCCTTGGCCCATTTATTTATTGGGTTATTTGATTTTTTGGTGTCTAGTTTTTTTGAGTTCTCTATATACCCTAGTGATTAGTGCTCTATCTGATGTGTGAGGGGTAAAGATTTGCTCCAAGGATGTAGGCTCTCTATTCACTTCACAGATTGTTTCTTTTGCTGAGAAGAAACTTTTTAGTTTGAGTCCATCCCATTTATTGATTCTTGATTTTAATTCTTGTGCCACAGGAGTCTTATTAAGGAAGTTGGGGCCTAATCCCACATGATGGAGATTAGGGCCTACTTTTTCTTCTATTAGATGCAGGGTCTCTGGTTGTCCTTAGTCCATTTTGAGTTGAGTTTTGTGCATGGTGAGAGATAGGGATTTAATTTCATTTTGTTGCATATGGATTTTCAGTTTTCCCAGCACCATTTGTTGAAGAGGCTATCTTTCTCCAATGCATATTTTTGGCATCTTTGTTTAATATAAGATAATTGTAATTTTGTGGGTTTGTCTCTGTGTCTTCTATTCTGTACCATTGGTCTACCAGTCTGTTTTGGTGCCGGTAAGATTGGTTTCATTTCTTTAGAATGTGCTTTTAGAGTTTAGCAGTAAAGCTAGTTGGAATTGGAACTTTCTTTGATGGAAAGAAAGTTTTTTTAGCTACATATTTAATGTCTTTACGAGTTAAACAACTGTTCATATTTACTTTTTCTTATAACAGATTTAGTATGATGTGCTTGTGCAGATATTTGTGCTTCATATTAATTTTAAAATTATTAAGATAATATTGCTAAAATATGCTCTTAATATCTATATGGGGTTTGTAGGATTTGTCTTATTTTCTTTTTCATGCCTAATATTGTATATTTCCATTTTTCCTACTTTTTTGTTGATTACTCTTGGCAGGAACTTATCAATTTTTATTAGTGTTTTTATAGTGCAATTTTTAGATTTTGTTAATTCTCTCATTAGTTTGTTCTCTGATTTATTAATTTCTGTTCTCATCTAGTTTTCCCCCTCTGATATTTGCTTTTAATTTAAATTTTTTATTAACTTTCTGAGATAGAGTCTCCTATCATTCTTCTATCATAAGCCTTTCTCATTTTCTATTATACACATTTGAAGTTGTAATTTCACTTTGAACCAAGTTTTAGATGCATTCTATATGTTTTGATATATCTGTTCTGTGTTAGGATGGGTGATATGAACTTTGCGTGCTCTATCATATTTTCCTTAGCATTTAAAACAGTTCTGTTCCCTCAGAAGGCACTGACGGCCAGCCACAGTGTCCTCAGCCTCAGTTGGATTTGATTTCAGTATCACCTATTTTTCAAAGCCAGCTGTGGACTTCTCAGGATACTGTTCACACATTCCTCTGTGTGGCGCTTTAGACTGCACCTCAGGCTTCCTGTCATACACCTGCAACCTTGAAACCATCACATCCTGGCCCCGGAAGTATAATTTATAGTCGTGACAAAAGGACTCCCCTGGCAATTCTTTTCTTCTGACTTGTGACCTATAAATGTGAAAGCACTTGATATTGGTAGACAGTAGATATGTAAGAGTCACCTCTGTCACTATCTTGGTGGTGTTAAGTTCCCGGTATGCTGAGTCTCAGTTTCCGCACTTGAAAGGCAAAGTTTATTCTATGTTATTTCAGAAGGCTTGCTAGTGCACAAGAATATTATCTTGAGGACAAAATCTATTCTTTTCTATTCCAGTGTGATTAGTCTTTGATAGTCATTAGCAATGTAGGAATGTTTGAATCATTTATTATCATCTAATCTAAATTTCCATAGAACTTGGAGATGGAGTCAGAGCTGTGATTAACAGTCTCAAGTAGGCATCCAATTTTATCTATGGACCTTTAAAAAATCAGATGCTTGCCCTTATTCTCCACTCTATGAGAGCATCTATGGTGGGTTCAGATTCTTCATTTAAAAAAATACCTATGGACTTAAGAGGTAGGAGGTCATAGGAGGCATGCAGTATATGAGGAAAGGCTCATTCTGAAACTGCCTCACCTGCTAGACTCAGTGACCCTAGTTATGCCTTTGTTTCAGCCACTAACTAATTGGGCTCCTCCATCCTCCCTAGTTTCATCTCCATCAGTCTTTTATAGCCATTGTATCTTAGCCAGAATGCGCTGGGCTATTTTGTGTCTCTGAAACATTGTGCATGCCAGGTTAGGGGTGTTCATCTTGATACCTGGAATATATAAGACATTCAAATATTGGCTCTCTTTTTATTCATATTTTAATCATAAATCTTGATAGTGAAACATCACTCTCAAAATTTAAAATAAAGATGAAGCCTTGCAGAGAATTTACACTCTGAAATAATTTTCCATTGGATCAGACAGGGCATTCCACTTCACTCTAAAGGGAAAGACTTACCCTCAATTAGTAAGGCCAATAATTAATATTATCAAATATTTGCATATTTTGAAAGGAAGAACAAGTCAATCAGGAGGAAGACTGTTCAACAATGGAAGCATATAGGAAGAGACAGCCAGAGATCATGCCTAGCCAGGGACTATCAAATGAAGACTACCCAGGAAAGAGATTTCTGAAGTCTGAGGACTCAAAATTAGTGTTTATTTGTGTCCTGAAGAATGAGACATCATATCATCAGGGTCTGATGCCTTCCATATGACTCTTAATACTAATTCCCTTTCTATGTGGTGAGCAGTTGTCTACGTGATAATTTGGTTTCCCAGGTAGGGTACTTATGGGGAAATAATATAATACTTCTGGGAAGTCATAATGGATATCGCAAATCAACAAATATCCACTCTGGCATTATGTAATGGGTTTCACCATGCAAGGTGGAATTATTCACATTGTTCTTGGATAGGGAATGAGGTATGACTCTGAACTGTGGCTGACTAAATGAAGAGAGAGCTCCCACAATTAAAACATTTTGAATAAATTTTTATTAAAATAGATGTTCATATGTCTTCTTCATCTATTAGACTGTGAGCTCCCTGAAGACAGAGACTACACCTTATTCCTGAGTGATCAAGGCCTCACACAGTGCTGATAAAGAGCAGGAACTCAAATGTTTGACTGAATAATTGGACTCAATTAGCCAATCAGTCATTCTGGAGTGGAGCTTTCCTGAAGGGGAACAGGTTTGAGAAAGACTGCAGAATTGGCCCAATGAGAGAAAGGTGTGGTGACGAGCATGAGAATACGAGCTTCTGATAGGACAAGTGAATGGTGAGGCTTGCCCTCTGGGTGGTTGCTAAGGGTGATTTAGAGGGAAAGGCATTCCTGAGACTAATTGGCTTCAGGTTGGTGGAGTTTGGTGGCAGCCTGGCTGACATGAGAAGTCATGTGGTAGCTATTCTCTGTGGATTGGAAAGTGTTCTTTTACCACTGTTTACACCTCCAAACACAATTTTTTTGTGAAGAGTTATTTTGGATTTTGTAAAATAAAACCCCAATAGTAGAGAAGGTATAATTGAGCCTGCAACATGGTAGAAACAGTCACCATTCACCTAGACTTACAGTCTTACAATCCCCCTGGGCTTTACAAAGCACAGGGACTTCCTACCATTAGATGAATTTCCACTTGGAGAAATGGGCCTTGCAATGGAGGACATTCCTACCTGTTCCTGTTCTTCTGCTAAAATCCTTTATGACCTAGTCCCAGTCTTCCTTCATGAAGTCTTCTCTCTAACCTACACAAGTCCTTTCCCTCTCAACTCTTATTGGACTGACTGTTTGTGTCACTCATTTTAGCCTAGGAAATACTTTGTCAAATCTTCTGGAGAAGGATAGAGATGGACAGATACAAATATACAGATTACGGATTATGTCACACACACAACATGCATCCATAAATGAATTCCACAAAGGAATTCCTGCTCTATCTATCCATCTGTCTATCTTTTATTCTTTTCTCTCTATCCATCCATCCATTCATCTACTTGTCATCTCCATCTATTCTTTCTATCTATCTATCTATCTATCAATCATCTATCATCTGTTGGTCTTTTAATTAGATTGTAAATGATCTAAGGTTTAGGGTTCACATAGATTTCTTATCTTCCTACAGTTCTGAGGATGGGGCTAATTAGGAGTGTAACTGGTACCCCCAAATGCTAACTGGAATTTATTTATTTATTTTATTTAGGATTGTAAAGAGATCACAGAGACACGGTTTGTTCCTGTGGAAATGAAGCTTGTTGTGTATGATGTCTCTGCAGAGGACAGCGGGAGCTATGCGTGTGCAGCCGAGCTGACACATGCCGGGAGAGCATACAGGGTTCTGAACAGCATCAACGTGAGCATCGGTAAGTACGCTTACACCTGTTGCCTGGTCTCCCTCACACAAAGCTGAGCCGGTTGGCTTCAGGCTTTGGGCAGAAGTGATCTGGATTTTTATTTTCTTGAAGATTAATAGGCTTTGAAATATGTCACTGATAGATCAGAGGGTAGAAAGAGTGAGGCAAAAGGGCACGAGCAACTTAGTTCTCCCCATCTGTAAAAAACAAAAATAAAAGCAAAACAAGAATATTCAAAACTTTTGGTTGATTTGGGAAAATGAAATGAGATCAGGTATATAGAGTAGCTGTTCTGGTGCCTGACAAAGTATAGGTATTCAGTGCTTCATGGGTATTATTAATTTGACCCATATTTCCCTCAGCCTTCACTATTGTGAGCGATTTGTGGGCCACTCCAGCATTGGCCTTCTCTGTCTTGGGCTCTGTAAGGTTCAGTGTTTCTGGCCATAGTTCTAGAATAACCTGTTGTTCATGAGATTTCATTTCTTGACCCAGAACAGCCAGTTTTGTGGAACATATGCCCTGGGGATTTGAAAAGTAGACTCTTAAAAGAAATCCTCAAAATAATTTGGCTCAAACCATGAATCTTATGGGGGCTCAGGACAGAAGCAACTCATCAAATTCACAAAGCTGACTCACGTCAGAAATAGGACTGAAGCCCTGGCCTTCATTGTCCAAGCAGACACGTTGCCTTCTACACACACCGGGCAAAGATTTCTTCTTGTCACTTTCTGCTCATTCTTCAGTAGAGAGTTACTTTCTGTATTTACTCGTCTAGAGGGAAAGAATGAAAGGCTGGATATTTCTTTGACTTGGACCTTCATGTTGGTCACTAATTTCTAGTTCTGGGGGATACGTAGCCAGTTCTTGATGGTGTTATTCCCTAGAGGGTCCTTTCAGCAGAGGTGACTCCTGCCGCCCTTCTGGAGGGCTCCACGTCAGTCCAGGATGGTCCCTTTGTTCCTGGAGTCCAGTGATGCCCTGCATTCCAGCCGGTTCTTCCTCCTGTGTCCCCCGGTACTCTTTGCTGAAATCACGCATGTGATTCGATGTTTTGGGGGTGGCTTCCATTTTGACTTCCTTCACCGAGGGCCACTTAATTAAGAAAGCAAAAACGGAGCTAGATTCCATGATTTTCGTGCTCTTGGGTTTCCTGTTGCTGGGAATTTCTCTGTCCTTATCTTGTTCCCAGCTGAATCCCAGCACCAAGCTCAGTGTCTGGCCTTGTCAAAGCATAGGTCCGTTTATTAACCAAATGACTAGCCGATTACCAAAATGCTTCAGTTTTGCATGAGTAAATGGGAAACTTTTTCAGAAGGTTGAAATTTATAAAGGAAAAAAAAAAAAAAAAGAATACCTCAAGAGGTCATGGGGTCCAAGAGTCTATAGTTCCTGCCAGTTCAATCAATCAACATGTATGATCTGTCATATGCCCAGAATTTCATTACACCCTGACAATTTAAAACTTTGAGAACATCATTCCTTCTGTTGAGAAACTCCAGCCTGGTGGTAGTGAATTTGAAGATATAAATGGATTATTTTTAACATTATATGCTAAGGTTCACCTTATTGATGGTGTCAAGGGACACAGAAAAGAACAGAAGGAGCTACAAGGTGGCAAGAAAATGGTCTAGGGAGGCTCTTAAGAGAAATTAGCTTTCAGTCGAATTTTTTTCCAGTTTTTTTTATTTGTTCTTTTTACTTACACATGACAGTAGAATGTATTTTAACATCTCATACATACATGGAGTATAAGTTCCCATTCTTGTGGTTGTACATGATGTGGAGTTATACTTAGGTCATGTATTCATATATATGAATGCAGGCAAGTTATGTCCAATTCCTTCTACTGTCTTTCCTAAACCCATCTCCTCTCCCTTCCCCCCATTTTTCCCTGTCCAATCTGGTGAACCTCATTCATCCCTCCCCTACCCTGCCCCCACCTATTTTGAGTCATTATACACATTTCAGAGAGAAAACATTTGGCCTTTTGTTTTTTGGGGATTGGCTTATTTCATTTAGCATGATAGCCTCCAGTTCCATCCTTGTACTGGCAAATGATTCAATTTCATTTTTTATTTATGGCAGAGTAATATTCCATTGTGCATATGTACCACATTTTCTTTATCCATTCATCCGTTGAAGGGCATCTAGGTTGGTTCCATACCTTAGGTATTGGGAATTGAGCTGTTATGAGCATTGATATGGCTATCACTATAGTTTGCTGATTTGAAGTTCTTTGGGTATATGCTCAGGTGGAACTACTAGGTCACATGGTGGTTCCATTTCAAGCTTTCTTTCAGCAGAATTTTGAAGGACGAATACATTTTATAAATGTAAAGAAAAATAAGAAGTGGTCTTTAGGCAGAATAGCATAAGGCAAAGTGTGGAAGTGTGAAATGTCATGGTTTATGTTGCATCTGTAATGAAGTTCATTTGAACATAAGTATGTCTGAGATGAGGAGTGGAGGGAACTGAGGACATGGAGTTAAACAGGGGCAGGCTCAAGGGGCCATTTATACATAAGCTTTACCATGTTGCCATTAAACAACTTTTGGGTGGGTACAAGCGCAGAGTCATGAGGCTGAACAAAACAGATCTAAGAGTCAGATCATGAGTTTGGTCATTAATAGGCTGAGTGTGAGGTACCTTTGAGAAACCCAAAAGGAGATGTAGAGAAAGCCATGTCCTTTGTGGGTCTGGAGCTTCAAGGAAGGTCTGGAGATATGACTTTCAAAGCCTGAAGTGGTAATTGAAGATTGCAAGTGTGGATGAGATTGTCCAGGAAAAGAGTAGAGAATAAGATGACTTAGAAGTGGAGACAGAGGCACAGACTATGAAATGTTTGGAGGTAAAATTTGTTGCACTGGTGATGAAATTGAGGAGGATGAAAGAAAAGCTGCTTCCTAGAATGACTTCCAAATTTGACATGTGTGTGATCCAGTGAGTGGGGGTATGGGGACTAGTTGGTGATAGCTGCTATTTGGGGATACTGAGTTGGAATAGTTTGTAGAATGCACAATTATCATGGCCATCGTACAGGGCATGTATTGCTGCATTCTCCCCTAGCTTCCTTCATTACATTTCCACATCCTACCCCAAATATATAGAAGGAATGAGGGACTAAGCAGGGGATTGTTAACTTTTAGTGGGCAAATTGGGAAGGGAAGGAGTGGGAAAATCCAAGGAGCACGGGATCCAGAGGATCAATCTGGAGAGACAAGCATAAAGTGGGAGTGGTATAGATGAAAGAGCTAGAAAATGACAGAAAAGGATTTAAAAGAACACCAAAATGATAGAAAGAAAGAAGAATGGAACTGAAGATACTGATAAGTTGGGGACATCATTTCTAACTAGCCAGAACTTGAAAAGTGTGCTTGGATTAATAAGTAATGAGGTTTTTATTATACCATCTCATTAGTTTACATTTATACCAAATATACAATGAGGGAAATTCCTTTGATAACTCAAGTTCTAAGTTTTTCCCTCCTCAGCAATTTAGTTATTCCCAGTTGAAAAAAAATATATAAATTTATGAATAATTTCTCACACCATAGGTTTTGTCTTTTCTTGACCAGTGTTTATTGATCTGTTCTCTGATGTGCTTCTTGCCATTATATTATGGTATTTGGGGATATATCATATAGTATTCTAATGCCATTTACTGTGGATTTGATTTCTTAGCAGGAAGAGTTGGAAATGAAAGAAGAATTCCTAAAATAATTTATCCAAAAAACAATTCCATTGAAGTACAACTTGGTGAGTAAAATTATGGAAGCCATTGACATCACCGAGGGCTCAACTCACTATGTCCACATGTTTTGTCTAGTGACTATTCTGAATTTCGATTGTGAAGACAAATCCCGTACACATCCAGTTTCCGGCTTTGGATATACCTGCTGATCGGGAGAGGCATCAAAATAAAATCAAACAGAGCTGGGGCTTGGAGAAGTTACAATATTGGAGTTCTTAGGGGGAGGGGGATCACGGTAGTTCTGGATGATTACTGTAAGTCTGTGTGTGTAGAGGTGATGAAAATGTAAAGATAACCCTTGAAAAAGACAACACATAATATAAAACTATAACTAAATAATGTTGATTGGGAATTCTGGGTTATATTATCTATTACTGGAAGAACATTAAGGTGGAAGTGATCATATTATATTCCTTCATTTTTATAGGATAGGAACAAAAAAAATGCCTCTCTACATAGAGAAAAGGTGGTTCAAGTTATTCCTTGAAACATAAAGGAAGTCACTAGTAAAATTAAAAAAAAAAAAAAAAACCTTAAGTACTTTCTCAAAAAGAAAAAGCAAATTAAAGTTTCCATTAAAACATAGGTGTTCAGATTGAATCAAATATTAAAAATTAATTAGAATTTTGTAAATTTAATAATATTCTCTTTTCAAAAGATACATATGGAAAAAAATGCATGACCTAAAAGATGAAAAATAATTGCATAAGCAAGATACTTGCAGACGTTAACATGAATGATCAAGTTGCTTGACTTCAGTCTGATAATAATCTTTTAAGAATTCCTCCCCCCCATGACAAATTGAATCACTTTATATTAATCAAAATTACAATATGTCCTAAAATTCAAACTTTTATGTATTAAATAGCAGTACATCAAAATATATAAAGCTAAAAGTCTCAGAAATCTAAGGACAATACAATTAAGACAATATTATTGTTTCAATGGTAGTGGGAGATTTTAATATACTCAGATTTATTAGGCAAATAAGAATCTAAAACATTTCAGCAAAATCACATGCAAATGTATTTAATAGATCACTCTCATAAATATCTGTGAAAAATGCAGGGTCCCCAAAGAGGAAACTGCACAGACCACATGGTACAATAAAAATGCAGTAAGCCTAGAAAGTCATAACTAAAATCAAAACAATGAAAAAATCTCCCTCATTAAATATGTGAGATGATGGAATTGTTAACTAGCTTGATTTGATTATTTCACATTGTTAACATATCAAAAATCACATAATATTGTATTATAACATATAATTATTATTTATCACTTAAAACCTTTAAAAAATTTTATAAAAGAGAAATTAACAACAAACTCATTTCCTAAATATTTGTTTTCCTGGGTAGAGATTAAACCAAAGCTGGAGTTCAAGAATATTTAGAAAATAATGACAGTGAGAATATATCATATTGAACTTCCTGGCATGTGACCACTACTGTACTCTAAACAAGTCTGTATTTTTAAATATTATCATAATTAAGTGTAGAAATAATTAAAATACATAAATAACCATTTATCTTTCTAAAAAAAGAACAACTAAGGAAAAAAAGATAAAAATAGGAAATAACGAATATACTAAAAGAAAAAAAAAGTAGAATGGTAAATCCCATAGTTGGTTTGGATTTGGGAATGTATCATATAGTATTCTAATATAGTATTCTAATGGGGTGGAAGAGTTGATGGGGGTCTGGTGGAAGGGAGGTAAACTTCCAGAAATCTCCTTCCCCCAATTCCAGGATACCTGAATAGAAGACTTGGGGATTCGAAGCTTATGAAACAATGAACAGAAATCTGTTGAAAAGGTCCTAGGCCTTTATTTAGAAGGTTCTTTTTGAATTTTAAGGAACTATGGATGCCCACTATAGTGGATGCTTGGGTATATGTATTCACTGCATGGATTCCCTTGGAGATCTCATAAACACCTAGAAGACAAGGTTGCCTGACTTCATTTCCCACTTCTGTCTTTGGAAATTCTGACATACTTAGCTAAAAAGCAGGAGTCTTTTAGGAGGAAGATAAATATATAATTGTTTTAAAATTAATATCTACTTAGAAAAAAATGTTAATTATCTAAAATGCTATAAACACTATCAATTCTTCTATAGGGGTTATTCCAACACAAAAGAAACTTTCAAAGCCAGTATCATTTCACAGGCCTGAAATAATAGTTTATTATCTTGATGCTAACATACTTTCTCTGGCCTTGTTGGTTATTTCCACAGGCCCTGTAAAGCCTATTTTCTCTTGGGACACAACTGCCACAGGTGCTTATGTACGGGCAAACAGCTGTTGGGTAATCCCAGCATCTCTCATCTCCAGAGCACCAGCATTTCCCTTCAAGAATATGTTTGGCATGTCATCTTGAAGTGATTTGCATGATTAGGGTTATTTTCCCCACATCCATTGACATTTATTTCATGTAATTACTAAATTGAAATGGATTCTATTTTCTCTGGATCCATTTTCCATCCAACCATAAGAATTATAAAATTAGCGAATACCAGAATATCATAGTTTCTCTGCATAAAACCAGTGTGTGTGGGGGGAATCACAAGTTAAAAGATGGAACAATATGCAAATATCTCAAATGTTTTCTCCCATATGTGAAAGCTAGAGAGAGCGAGAAAAAAGAAGGAATTAATAAATAAAATTAAATAAAGGGGATCTCATGAAAATAGAAGGGAGACCCAGAGAGTAGAGGAAGGGGATAGAGAGACAGGGAGGAGGGGAGGAATGGAGAAGTATTGGGGAATGAAATCTACCAAATTATGCTATGTCCTGTATGAATGTAACAAAATATATCAGGCATCTATACACCTTTATATTTATATAATTATAATGCACTAATTAAAATAATAATAATAAAAATAATGGAGATCATGAGAATAGAGCAAGCAAATCAAGGGGAGGGAGGAGGAGAGGGAAAGGGAAGATACTAGAGGATGAGATCGATCAAGTTATGGTATGTGCACATAGAAATATAGCATAATGAATCCATTAATATGTATAATTATAATGCACCAATAAAAATTTTTAAAAATCATTTAACATAAAATTGACCAATTTAAAATAAACAAAGAGTGATATTTAAAGAAAAAAAGGATGAACCAGTTCTGGAAGTCTGATGGATGTATTTCTTAATTTGATCGTAGTAAACATTATAGTATATATATATATGTGCATACATGCACACATTCTGTATGTATATCAAGTGTTTCATACTATGTACATTGAATATATATAAACTCCTTGTTCAATATTTGAAAGTTAAAAATATGAAAAACAAAACAAAATACAAATACCTGTATATATAGAAAATAGTAAAGTTAAAAAGTAAAGGGCAGAGGCTGTGGTTGTGACTCAGTGCTTGCCTAGCATGTGTGAGGCACCACATTAAATAAATAAATAAATAAATAAGGTCTGGGGATGTGGCTCAAGCGGTAGCGCGCTCGCCTGGCATGCGTGCAGTCCAGGTTCGATCCTCAGCACCACATACAAACAAAGATGTTGTGTCCGCCGATAACTAAAAAATAAACATTAAAAAAAATTCTCTCTCTCTAAAAAAAATTAAAAATAAATAAATAAACAAATAAATAAAATAAGGTATTGTGCCCATCTACAAATGAAAAAAAAAATTTTAAAAAGTAAAGGGCAAAGTAGGAGAGAATGTTTGGAATAAAGATGACAGAAAACAGGTAATATCATTTATATACTTTAAAAAAAAACAGATCAAGAAAACTGCAGAATCTGAGTGAGGCCATAAAAATTCACACAAGGGAAAACAACCAACAAGATATTAAAAATATTCATTTCCAATAAAAGAAGTGTACATTAAAGTATATTTACCTATGAAATCGGCAAGGATTGAAAACCATGTGACACCATTTATTAGCAAGGGTAACATAAAGGGCATTCTCACCCGTTACTGACAATGAAGACGAGCGATCTCTTTAAAACATGTTGAAACTCTCCAGAGGTTTCCCATCTCACTCGCAAGAAGGTCCAAGTCCTCACGGTGCCCAGCGTGGCATTTGGTGGCTTGCCTCTTCCCGCCCTATGCTCAGGAGCCCTCCCCCTCATCCTGACCCTCCTCCTCCCAGCCTACCCCTCTGCTCCCACTGCTCCAACAGCCCAAGCACAGCTCCACCTCAAAGGTTCTGCTTGCTGTCCCTTCAGCTTGGATGCTGTTCTCCAGCCACATACCATCTGTTCCCTCCCCTCCATCAGATCTGCGAGGAGGAGTTAGCTCCCCTGTCCACCTCGTTAGAGAGTCTCATGCAACCACCCCCTATCCTCCCAACCCTTTTCACAAATTCACTTTTTACTCTCACATACTTTTAAAGTTTTCTTTTAGTTTCTCTGGTTCTGTTTGACCTTATGCTCCTGAAGAGCTTTGCTTTTTGTCTGTTCTCTTCCCTGCTGATTCACCCGGGCTCAAAACAGAGACGAGAATGTAGCAGACGCTCAAGAAACGGCGGCTGTTAAATGGGAAATGAATGAACAGCTTACTTTGAACTGTATAGAAGGCCATTGCCAATGTATATGTAGAACCATTAGAAATGTGTACACTTTGGGCCCAGTAAATTCTGGATAAGGTATATATAATAGAAACAGCCACAGGGGTTCAGATAAATATCAGATATGTATCTTAGAAAAAAAATTGTCTGTGGTCTCTTTTAGGAAAGAAAAGACAGGATTGAAGTTTTCTAAAGAAAACTTGAAATGTAAAGTCACAGCATATCAGATTTGAAAAAGAACAAATAAAATATTCAGAGCTTATCAGTACAGTCCCCCCCCCCAAAAAAAATTAAAACTCAATAAAGGTTTTAAAAGCATTTTAGACTTGTTTAAAAATGAGGATTACTAAGCTAAAATATAGGTGGAAAAAAAATTTAGGATTAAGCATAGAGAGACAAAGGAATAGAAAATACAGATGTATTGTGAGTTCAAAGCCAGCCTCAGCAGAAGTGAGGTGCCAAGCAACTCAATGAGACCCTGTGTCTAAAGAAAATACAAAATAGGGCTGGGGATGTGGCTCAGTGTGTGCCAAGGAGTTCAATCCCTGGTATACCCCCTCCCCCACTCAAAAAAAAAAAAAAAAAAAGAGAGAGAGACTATGGAGGCAGAGGCAATGTTATGTTGTCCCAGTTAGTGCTGAGAATGTTCCAAACTGATAGGACACACGAATCCAAAAGATTCTATAAACGAAAAATCCCAAGCAAGACCATAAAATTAAAACTACTACACCTGGATACACCATAGCGAAATTGTGGAAAACCAAAAACAAATCAAAAAATCTTAAAAATAAGAAAGAAAGAAATAAAAAAAAATCCCTTCTATGTACAGAAATAAGACTGCTAATTGAAGTTTTAGCAGGAATAATAAAGCAAAAATATTAATTTAATTTTTTTAAAACTAGGGATTGAATCCAGGGGCACTCACTTAGCCACTGAGCCACATGCCCAGCCCTTTCTAATATTTTATTTAGAGACAGGATCTCACTGAGTTGGTTAGAGCCTCACTAAATTGCTGAGGCTGGCTTTGAACTTGAGATAATCCTACCTCAACCTCCCAAGCTGCTAGAATTACAGGTCTGCACCACTGTGCCCAGCTAAAATGTTAATTTTTATAGTGTAGTACCATCATGCACATGACAAGATGGCAAAACTAAAATAGACTGGGCACCCTAGCTACTGTTGAGCGTGTGAAGTATAAGAAGGCCCCTGCCCTGCTGTGGAAAGCTAAGCTGTACCATTGTATGAAGTTGAAGAGATGTATGACCTATGATCTACCAGTATTGTATGTGGAATATCCAGGGGACATGCAGAAGGGAGTTCCTAGGTGGGTACCGTGGGACGTGCCTATAATCCCAACAACACACTAGGTGGAGGAGGGAGAATTGCAAGTTCTTAGGAAACTGTCTCAAAATAAAAATATAAAGTGCTGGGGATGCAGCTCAGGGCTTGATCACCCCTGGTTTCAGTTCCCAATACTGGGGAAAAGGAAAGAGTTCTTAGGAGCCCTAGGCATACTAGACAAACACCAGAAATAATATGAACGGTATGCAGCCGTGGTAGAAGGAATAAATGAGGATTCGTGTATTCCATCCTCTCCAGCAGCATGGATGAGTCTTACCAGCAAAATGCTGAGCAGTAGAAACTGGTGCTCAGGGATGAACATGCAAATGATGAAATATGAAGTAGGGAAGGGGCCTGGGAGACTTCTGGGAGTATACTACCTTCCTGATGGAGTGAGGGTGGGGTGGATATTTGCTTTGTCATAATTCATTAACTGGATTCCATGGTTTTAACTGTGTGTTATATATAGTACACAATACATTTTTTAATGTTTTAGTCTTTTTAATGTATCTTCTCCCGGATTGAATGTCCTGTTCCTAGGATGTCCATGTGTCCTATTTCTGAAAGCCGAAAATAACTCCAACCTTATCTTGTGTTTTCTTTTCTTTTTTTTTTTACTTTTTAAACAATTTGTTCTAATTAGTTATACATGACATTAGAATGCACTTTGACACATCATACATAAATGGAGTATAACTTCTCATTCTTATGGTTATACGTGAATCACACCACATAGTCATATATGCACATAAGGTAATAATGTTTGATTCATTCTGCGATCCTTCCTACCAGCCTGCCTCCTCCCTTCCCTTCACTCTCCTCTGCCTAGTCCAAAGTACCTCTATTCTTCCCTACTGGTCCCCCCTCCTTACGGTGACTTAGCATCTGCATATCAGAGAAAACATTTGGCCTTTGGTTTGGGGGATTGGCTTCTTTCGCTTAGCATGATATTTGCCAGCTCCATCCATGACGTTTTTAAAGTGCCACCTAGAATAAAGAACTATCCTTCAAACTCCATGTACGATTTATGAGACTTCTGGACAAAGTAAAATGAAAACATGGATTTATTAAACAAGATGTGTGTGTGTATGTGGAAGCAGGTAAGGGAGAGATGACAATGGGTGTGGGGCCACATTTGTTGATGTAGGAATATGACTGGATTTGGAACTAGAAAACTGTGTTTGTCTCATCTCTCCCTGTACTTCACGTATGACCTTGGGCAAGTCAGTCAATCTGTCTGAAACTTCAATTTTCTCATCTCTAACATGGGGATAACTCTTCCCCTTTCTTCTGCCTTGTTGGATTGTTTACAAGATATGAAGACTGAGGGAGAAAATCCGTATACAATACTTTGTAAGCTGTAGAGGTCTCGGCTGCAGCTCGAGTACAAGTGGTATTTGTGTCTCTGATATTGTAGAGGACATCATCTGAAGTGTTGGCATTCGGCAGCATGTGCAACTCTCTTTACAACAGACACCCTAGAAGCCGGCTCATCCCTCCTGATCTCTGTCCGGGAGAGAGAGCCGACTGACCGGGGCTGGGGAAATTCTGGCACTCAAGATACTCAAATCTCAAAAGAAGATGCATTTGGGAATTAACCAATTTGAGTCACTGAAACTTGGTAAACTTTTCACTGAATATTTGTGAATTTGGTTGCTCTAGGCTCCACTCTCATTGTGGACTGCAACATAACAGACTCGAAGGAGAACACCAACCTGCGATGCTGGAGGGTCAACAGTACTTTGGTGGACACCTACTACAATGAATCCAAACGCATCAGAGAGGGAATCGAGTAGGTGTTTTGTTCCTCTGGCTTCTCTAAAACCTGGCAAGACTGTCTCCACCTACTATCTGCTGCCACTGCTGCTGCTTATAGACACTCCCGCCACCTGCTCAGCCACCGCTCCTCTTGGCTTTGTCTTTTGAAGATTGCAGTGTGCTGTGTGGCCAAGCAGCTGGCTCAGAGAGGTGAGCCCGGCCTAATGGGGGGCATGTGGCGAAACCTGAAGCATGCCTCAGTAAAAGAATGTCCATTTCTCTCAACTGCTGCTTGAAACCAGCCTACTCCTATTCAGTTACATCCTGAACCACTGGCCTTTGAGGATTAAATAGTAAAACAAGAGCCAAGGCAGGAGGTCTTGGGGAGAGAGGACATAGTTAGTTCCCAGTGAATTGAGTATAAACTCAATGTATGGAAGTCTGATTGGAGTGGTGTAAAATGGGCCCCGTGACCTCAGGGCAATAGAACTTGTGCAGGGCCTTTAGGTGGAGCTGAGTTAGAGAAGCAAGGCTTTTAGGCTCTCGCTGACAGAACCATACTTCCTTGCCACTATCCAGAAGAAAATGCAAATTTGGAACCACATAATCTATACACCTCATGGAGTCACTCAGTGAAGTATTCTTAGGGTAAAAAAAAAATTCTTAGGGTGAAAGTGTTCTCCAGGGGAGGGGAGAAAATACATAATTTTGTCTCCAGAAAAAAAAAAAAAACCATTATGAATTATGTTGGGTTAATTTGACCCAAGCGTTATGCTCAACTGTTTTTTTTTTTTTTTTTTATGTAGAACCAATGTTTCTTTTCCGGAACACATTTTCTACACGGTAAACATAACCTTCTTAGAAGTGAAAATGGAAGATTACGGACTTCCATTCATGTGTCATGCTGGAGTGTCCACAGCCTACTTTATGCTAACGCTCCCAGGTAAGGTCCAGTGTGTCACCCACTGCTCAACATGTTCAAAGTGCTGGGCAGGAAATGCATCTGAAAGAGAAGGGGAAGTCACGTGTGCAATGGTGACACAGGACGGTGGAACTGAGTAGAAAACCCAGGTGTGTCACCTGGGGAAGAGTTGATATCGTCTCCTACTCTGCATGGAGTAAGGCTGGGATAAAGTAGCATCTTTGAAAATGCCACATTCATATATATTGATAATGTATGCATTAAAATTCCAGGAAACTGAGTTTTCCTTTACAAAACCTAATTGTTCAACTTGTATGACCATTTAGTTGCGATTTTCAGCTTTTAGATTGTTACAAATAATTTCATATGCAAATAAAATGCTTATGCATATTTTCACCACATAACTTTGCAAACTTATATATGATTCTGATATTTGAGCAGGCGAGCTCCCCACTCCAAGGGCGTACAAAAATTTCACTCAACAACTGTATAGAGCTTTTAAAGGATGCATTGGAGGTCTTAAAGCCAGAGAATAGAGAGTAATAATAGAGGGTGATGTCAGAGCCTTGAGATCAACTAAGTTGATAACCTACAAGAGAAGTGTATGAGATACCTTGTAAAATGCTGGGTAGTTTACCAAGGCATTATTTTCTTGATTCTTTTAGTATAATCTCTCTCTCTCTCTCTCTCTCTCTCTCTCTCTCTCTCTCTCTGTGTGTGTGTGTGTGGCTAACTTATATACAACAGAGAGCCTGAATGGCCAGTGTTCCTTAGTAATCAGTTAAACCTACATACTTATGCATCTAGCTAAAACCCCGCCAGAAGTGTTTTTCTAGAAGTTAACAGAAAACACGGGTTGCCGTATGAAGCTAGCAGATGTGCATCTGCTTCTGCCAAGCTCCTGACATTTTGTGTGTCCACAGCCTTCCTTAGAATAGTGGGGAAATAGGGGTGTGTGCCCAGCGTCCTGCAGCTCTGGGTGTGCATTCTCTCCTTGTGCTGTGACCAGGAGGCCAGAATCCCTCTGTCCCCAGCAGTGTCTGCTCTGCGTGGGCACACAGCAGCTGCACATCTCTCCCTGGATCTGTGAGGAACTGCTGTGGTTACACCAGGAGGGAGGATCCTTGAGCTTATCTGTCTCCACTGCCTTCTCTTCTTCTTCTCCTGTGCCTTTCATAAGGAGCCAGTTTCAACCACTTTCCTTGGGTGGGTCTTGTGCACCCATCTCTCTCTGTGGTGTCCTTCCTGAGGTCCTGTCCTAAGTGCTGACTTTCTCTCTGCACCCTCATCCCTGACCATCTCACTTTCTCTACGGCTTCGGTGTCAGCCTTGTGCAGGAACCAATGTCTTCCCCTGTGTCCTCTCTTCCCACGCGGCAGCCTGCCTTTCCACCCGTGTGCTAGACCACGGATACATTGGCTAAAGTGTGAAAACACACCTACCCTCTCAAACCTCCTGGTTCCTGTGTTTATTACCTTTGCTAATGGTGTCCCCCGTATCATCCAGGTAATTCAGCTTCATCTCATTCCTTTCCTCTTCTTCCCTCATGCCAATGCCCAGTTAGTTGCCGAGTTCTATGGAGACTTCCTGTCCACTTCCACTGCTAATCTAGATGGGGAGTGTTTCCAACCCAGGACAGCAAGGTCCAGGTTTCCAGGGTCACAGGTCATGGCTTTACCATTTATGAGTCGTGTGACCACAGTGTTGTCATTGATCATAACGGTACCTTCCACGGAGGGTTGTTGTTGAGACTGATTTGGAATTTCGGTTTTTAGTTTTTTAATCATGATACATAACATACATATGAGAAAGGACATATATAATTTACATATTACATAGCAAATAATCACATAGCAAATTCATGCCAAGCTGCCATCTAGATTAAGAAAGACAACCGAACACAGGTTACCAGACCCAAAGAGTCTCCGCATTTCCTTCCTGATCAAATCATCCTTTTCCTGCGTAGATGATCACTTCTTCAACTTTTAGGAAAGTCATTGCTCTTCTTTCCCATCTGTGTTGCTAGCCCTAAAAAGTACAGTTTAGTTTTGCCTGTTTTTTGAGCTTTATAGGAAAAGGATTCTATAGTATGAATTCTTCCTATGACTTTCATTTCCTCGTAGGTGTCTGGGTTGTGTTGGTACCTCAGTGATCTATGTGGCTGTAGTTCATTCATTTTTTTTTTTTTTTTTTTTTGCTGCGTCCTGTTCCTTTGAACAGCTAGATCATCATGCATCCACTTTACTATATATGCACATGGACATTTAAGTTGTTTCCAGTTTGGACTATTAGCCAATAATTCCACTGTGAAGCTTCCTGGATGTGTGTCCTGGTATGCATGCAGAATAGTCCTCTCTGCTACAGTTCTAGGAGTAGAGTTGCCTAATGAGAGTGTGTTATTGGCCTTTCTATATAATGTCACACTGTTTTCCCATACGATTGGACCAATTCATATTCCTGTTGCCTATCACAGTGTAGGAGAGAATCAAGAGATAATGTTGCAGAGTGACCACAGAGCCAGGACATTTTAGTGAATTCTTAAAAAAAAATATGTTTGTTTGCATTACTACTATCCTGGTTCCGGTTGACTATTATGGGTTTGGATGATCATATTAATTTTATTAATGACTTCCTTGCTTTGAGAACTTTTTCTGGTCTACTTATCTCCTGGTGACTGTTGTAGAATTACCTTCTCCAAGGATGATTGGAACTCTGCCACTCCCCTGCCAGGACATTAGTCCCACCTCCTTCCCTATGGGATAAAAATGACCCTCCATGGCTTGGCATTCTCATCCCCCCCATCTACCTTTTCCCACTAACTTATTGGTTGTCTCCTTTGTCTGCCCTATGAAATAGATCAGAGACAAAAGCAGGTCCTCTCTGGGCCTCATATTTTGAGAAAGAAGATGACTTTGAAGCCAGTGAGGGTGGAATTGCTTTTCAAGCGGTGATCAGGGCAGAACCTGCAGACTGGCTTAGGCCAGAGACAGGAACTCATGGTCAACCCCAGAGAAAAGAGGGGAAGAAGAGAAGCCTTGGAGATACCATGAGACCTGAAGTTACCACTTAAATCTGCTTCAACCTAGAAGTTTGACTTCCTTGTTTAGTAACCTCACCTGAATCTGGCCAAAACCAGATTTCCATGACAATCCTAACCTGTCAGTATGGACTACCCAGAAGCACTACTCAGGAGGCTTCTGAGGCCAAATCCAGGATTAAAAGAAATAGTGCTATATTTTTCCCCAGTTAACATCTGTCAATCATGGGGCAGCGGGTAGGATCCTTTGTTTTAGCCGGGCCCAGAGGTGAACTTCACGGATCATTTCAGCCTTTTATTCAGGAATGGGATTACACTTTCAGGGGACCTACTTTCCTGGTGGAAAATGAGCCACTGGCCAAAGGAGAATTTTGGGGTTATGTAGGTTACACTGAGAGGTGATTTAGTGAGCATGACAGCTTGGGTACTCAGGAATTTGGGATTTGGGGTTGGGGGTTGGTGGTCAGCACCTGGAGAGGATTATCTTGCAAGTCTCATTCTAAGTTTGAATGGCCCACCTGTGGCCAGCTTCTGAAAAGGATTTATCTTGAAAGAGATGAAAGCTATCAGTGTATGGCTTTCTTTTTCACTCCTTTTTCCCAGGCTGCACTATCTTGGGGTTTTTCATTTCCATATCTAACATTTTGTCTCTTCCTTTTAGGCAGGTTGAGAAGTTCTTGTTTACTGAATTCATCTTCCTTCCTCCTGACACTCATTTCACATCTCATATGCAATGCAATTTTGGTCATGTGCTTGCTTTTTTTTTTTTGGTGGGGGCACCAAGAATTGAACTAAGGGGCACTTGACCACTGAGCCACATCCCCAGCACTATTTTGTATTTTCTTTAGAGACAAGGTCTCACTGAGATGCTTAGTGCCTTGCTTTTGCTGAGACTGGGCTTTGAACTCATAATCCTCCTGCCTCCGTCTCCTGAGATGCTGGGATTATAGGCGTGCACCACTTCAATCAGCTGCATACTGTTTTGTTTGTCCTGAGTTCTTAGGAACCTCACCCTCTTAAATCCAGGCTTCTTGGTTTTCTTGGGGGCAAAGTCAAGGTTATAACTTCTCCATTGGACTTCCTTCTTTTTGCTGAGAACACCTCCAGATTTGAATCCTACCAGTTTGTGTGAAACAGAGTCACTAAAAAGTTGTTTAGATTATGTGTCCCTTCCATAAATTTTTTGATCACTTGTCCTCACCGACCATATAGACTTTGTCATATTTCACAAACTTGACGTTCATGCTATTGGCAAATTTAAAGGCTGATGGTGGCCACATGGACTCAAGTGACAAACACCATTTTTAACAGGGTTTCGGACATACCAGCAGTGAGTTTTCCATTTGCTCCTATATCAAACTCCATACTCCCTTTGAACTTAGTCATTCCAGTGTCATCTTTCAGCACACTTGCAGAGCATAGAGCATCAACACACCTGAATGCAATGAATGACCGACTCAAGAATCCCGGGGTATCACTCCTGCTACCTGCCACAGGGGCTCTTTGAATCTGATAAATATTGGGGGCATCGTCACCCTATCAATGGCTGCTTACCACACCAAGACCCCTGAGTTGTACATTAGGTCTCCCTACACACGAATTCTCCCAAAGGAAGAGGGGTAGTGTTGATTCAAGAAGGAGAAAGAAGGGCTGACAAAGAGAAAGAGAGAGGGGAATGGGAGGACCCATCTCCTGCTTACAAGTCAAAGGTTATAACATGGGGTCAGGATGGAATTTGGCCCCTGTGTGTGGAGCATTTCTACCTGGCTGCATTGGGACTTAATCAATATATATTTGGGGGGGGGGAGCACCAAATGTGCTTTTTTATTTTAAACTAAATTATTTTTTAATATATATATATTTTTTACTTGTCAAAGGACTTTATTTAATTTGTTTATATGTGGTGCTGAGAATCGAACTCAGTGCCTCATACACACCAGGTGAGCGCTCTACCACGGAGCCATGACCCCAGCCCCCAAATGTGCTTTTTGTTACTGTGCTTTATGGTGCCACGTATTTCAAGATCTGCAACAGGAAACAGAAAGTCTGGGGCCTCATGATATTTACAACATGGTGTGGCCTAGGGAAGATTGTGATAAGCTCTTTAATAAATATATATATATTTTTAAATGAAATCCCTCTGGGAGGGATCCTTCATCTTCAGGAGGATCAGGAAGGGGCTTGAGGAAGTGGTTTATGGGGTGGGTTGTAGGAATGGGAGGATTTCTCTTCCTCTCTCCCACTTCCTCTTTCCAAATTCCCTCTTTCCTGAGGCTCCTTCTTTGGGGGCCTAGGTTTGGCTGTAGTGAGGTGGGACGCTGCTCTTCCTCTTTGTGTGTGTGTGTGTGTGGCGGGGGGCCTTGCTCCCTGGACGTGGGCCCCAGAGGAACTGCTCCTTTCCTTGGTCAGCTCTGCCCAGTGCTTGTCCATCCCCATCCTTGCACAGGAAGCCGAGCAGAACTGGAACAGCCTCTCAGAAACTGTCTCTCACCCAGGGCCCCAGCCTGGACTCCTGGCACCCAGAGGCATGGATGAGGGCTTCCCTCTCAGGCAGCCATGTGAAGTCAGCAAAGATGGCTTCCGGGGAGACCCGGGAGTCATGCTCCTCAGTGTGTAGTGACGGGGGAGCAATGTGATATAGGATTGTAATCAGGACGTGCCGTGGATCGAGATTGTGCAGTAAAAACTGGGGAATGTCTCAAACAAACCGCTGGAGCGTCTGGTGTTGACCGCGTAGAACCAGGACACGCAGAGTTGGAAAGCAGTTGTCCTGCAGTGGGAATGAGAAGGAAGATTTCTGCAGTTTTTCTCTTCCTAGTGCCCAAAAGCCCATTTGCTTCCTAAAATCCATGGCCCAGATCAGATTATTCTACTCCCATACCTGTTATTTAACTTTAAAGAAATATTTAAGTAGTGTCCTCATTGATATCGAGTACACTTACCTTTGGAATTTATACTGTAATGTCTCTGAATAAAGGGTTTAATCAACTCTCTGGATTATGATGATGTTATTTTGCTGTCATTTGCAGCTCCAGATTTCCGCGCTTACTTGGTAGGAGGGCTGATTGCTTTGGCCATTGTGGTCACATCTGTTCTATGCATCTACAATTATTTTAAGATCGACATTGTACTTTGGTATCGGAGTGCCTTCAGTTCTACCAAGGCCATAGAAGGTAAGTGTGTGCATATTCTCTGAGAAATGTCTTAAAATTGGTATCTTGTCGTCAGCATAACCATTTCAAATAGACTTTGTCGTATTTCACAAACTTGACTTTCATGCTATTGGCAAATTTAGAACTCCCTGGAACTTACAGTGCTTCAGAGAGATTTGTCCACGATCACCAGTATTTTTTGTCTCCAAGAGCAAAGTGCTGTCCTTCTGTGATGTGTCCTCAGCACCATGGCAACTCGAGTACTGTTTATATTATGGGGAGTAGGAGCTGTCCTCCCTTAGGTCCAGGATGTGTTACCCAAAGGGGTTTCAGTCTCCAACTCTCAATGTTGAAGAGAGATGGACCTGAGTGTGAATTTGAGTTCCCCGTTTACTCTCCTGCCAGAGCTATTTGACAAGAAGATTCCCCAGTGTGATCCTCAAGGGGTGGTGTGGTTGTGACTCTGCACACTCTCTCTCTCTCTCTCTCTGGTCTCAGAATGGACGTGACCTTTAAAAAGGTAATAAATCTGCTCTAATGTTCTTTCATTGCTTGGAAAAATTGGTACAAAGCCAAGAGAAGTCCACACAGGATGAGGGATGTACATATTTAAACTTTTCCAGTCCAGAGACTTGTAGTGCTGATCAGAGCATGTTTTTATAAGTAGCTTATGTATAGAAGAGCACGGTTACTCTAAGTGCCTGCTTTGCATATGAAAATTATGGCACAAGTTATTGTAATACTGGATAAAATATAGGTATCCTAACCTGGACTACTTCTAAGTTAAAAGTCAGGATTAAAGATTGGTACCACAGGGGCTGGGTGTGCAGTTCAGTGATAGAGCACGTACTTAGTATGTATGAGACCCTGGGTTCCGTTCCAAGTACCAAAAAAAGAAAAGAAAATAGAACAACGAGAAGCATCGGCAGACCCCGAGCAACGAAGAGAACAGCAGGTGCCTGGTGGGTGATGAAGTGCCATGTCCAACTCTGGTCTTGTGTGCCAAGCGCAGCATGCAGCGCTCCTAGGGCTGCAGATGGATTGGGAGTGTGTATATCTGGCTTTGGCTAGGGTCAGCACAGAGTTTGCTCTAAGCGCTTGTGACTGTCGTCCTTTTTGAGAAGAGGATCGGGTCCACCACCATTTATTTCTTCTGACGCAGATATGAGTGGTTCGGCTGATTTCTGTCTTGACTAACAGGATCACCTCGCTGACGTGGTCTTTCTGGAAGGTCTAGCTTTTCCGACTCCTTGGCATTTGTCCCTCTCTGACTCACTGGAACTCGCAGGAGCACGATTGGCTGTGAATTATTGGTATCGAGCAGAGCGCCTGGTGAAGCTGACTGTCAGTGAGTTGAGGTTAACAGGAAAAGAAAAAAAAAAAGGAAAAGTGACTCATGCCAAGCAGACACGCAGAGCAGAGGAGACTCAGAGAGCCCCACCCACTGCCAAACCTGGCTGTCGCCCAGTTTCCCCACAACCAGTGAGTGGGCTGACAGGCAGCCAATGGGCCCTTTTATTTTAAATTTTTAATTCCGGAAAGAATGTGTGTGCTTTGTGATTAAATTGTCTACACCTCACTCCCTTGTAATACAAGTGTTGGCTTTCACAATGAGCTGGTGATAGACTCTGACATTCACCGTGATCTCGTTTGTGGCTTTATTTCCCTTGAGGATATTTTCTAAGTGATCTGGGAACAAACAGAGTAATGGATGGCAGAGACAAGGGAGGGAGAGAGAAATGATGTCCTCTTACATGCCCGATAAGTAAGATAAGTCATCTACCCCAACTAGGTTCATCAAGCTGTGTGACATGGTGAATAGTTAGGTGAGTCTAACTCGTGGTTTTCGTATGAGTCATTCTCAGGCCCGGCTGAAGTCAGAGAATTCTGTATATCCTCTGTCAAGCTCTTCTGGCAGGTGGGCATGTGTGCAGAGGAATGGAGGGATTAGTTTACTAGGCTCCTGGAGGGATCGCACATGCCTCCTCATACTCCAGGTAGGTGTGTGGAGAATGTGCATGGAGAGCAGAGGAACTAGAAAAAAACCAAAACAGATACAGTGAACAAAGGGTAGAAAGGTTAAATAAGCTGGAGGTAGAGCTAATGACAAGTCTTGGTTGTTAAAGCTGAATTTGTTTTCAAAGCTAAAGCAAAGGCAATTACAAGATTTATTAATATTGCTGTTCACAAAAACCTTTCAATTGCTCATGAGAGAACATGGTGTTTTCTGGGACTCATTCCCAAGGGAGATTTTTTTGGGGGGAATGTCCTCTGTTTAAAGGGTGTGATATAAAGAACCCTGTCTGCGACATTTCTGTGGTAAATGTATGACCATATTTTAGGTATCTTTCCTTCTAGTGACTTCTATGCATGCTGGAGCTGAATACCTCAAACCACTAATGGCATTTAGACGAAGGTACATTGAACCTGTCCGATTTTTTTTCTTCTGCTCTGGGTTAATCAAATCTAAAATTTCACAATATCAAATTGAGAGAAAGTCAAGAATTGAATAGTTTTTAGGCAATCTTTCATAAATACTAGTTTATAAAAGTCAGATTTTTTGTGTGTGTTTGGCAAACAATCAATAAGAGCGCATGCACATACTTTAATATTGAAGATCAGGTTGAATCTCCTCAGAAAATGAAAGGCGCTTGGCCAGGATGTGGATAAACTGTCACCTCCCCAGTATAGAGAGATGGGTCGTGTGAGTGTCCACAGGGCTTATTGTCCTCAGAATGCTCACCAGTAGGTCTGTGTGTCTGAAATGTTCTTGATGAAATAGGATACGGTCAGCCCCTCGTTACTTGCTGTTCCAGTAACTATTTTGGCTGGGAAATGAATTACCTCAAAATGTCATGGTGTAAAACAGCCCTTCATTCTGCTTCTGGGTTCTGTGGACCAGGGACATGGACAGACACAGTGGGGACAGCCCAGCTCAGTTTCAGCTGGACCACTGACAATTGACTCTGGCTGTTGGCTGATGGCTTCAGCCCCTCTTTGCAAGAGTTTCTTCAAGTCTTCTCTCTGTGTGTCACATTTGAGCTTCTTCAAGGAATGGTGGCTGTTTTCCCAGGGTGAGCATTTCAGGAGCAAGAGAATCCGGGGAAAGTTGTGTTTTCTGGTATAATCTAGGCCTCCTGGATTTCTACTGCCAATTCCACTACATCCTACTTTTTGAGGCAGCCATGGAGGCCTCCCTAATTTCAAAGAAGTGGAAATAGATTCCCCTCTTTGTAGGGGTGTGGCAACATTCTGAAAGAACATGTAGGACCAGAAATGTGGCTGGGGCTGCCTTTGGAGAATACAATCAGTCACAGTTGCACAAGATTGATCGGGAATAAGCTTTATGCCGTTCCCTGCATGATCTTTTAGTATACTGGTCAGTAAATTATGGATTGGTCCATCGAAAGTGATGAAAACACATTGTATTTTTTAAAACAAGGCAACAAAGAGTATTTTTATTCAAAAGCATTAGTCAGAGGGCTAGGGATGAAGCTCTGTGGTCGATCATGTGCCTAGCAGGTGAGAAATGCTGGGTTCACTTCCTGGCACTGCAAAAAGAAAAAAAAAAAACTTAGAAAGAAAAAATTGAACAAAAAAGTTGAACATTTTTATATTTTTAATTTTAAAAACTTTTTGAAAGGTGAGTTCTTACCACCCAAATATCTTCTGGGTTTGTAGAGCAAGATGACTGTGTATCCTCAGATGGCTTGTTTAGATACAGAATATCAAAGAGAGGACACTTAGCAAAAGTGGTTCATTTTTTTGTTTGCTTGTTTGTTTTAAAATTGGAGTCATTGGGGGTGGGGAGGAGAAGCAGAATGATAAGAGGGAGAATCCAGTGGCAGGCTCTGGGACAGAGTGGTGACGAAGCTGAGGGTTAGCTATAGCTAAGAGACCAGGGGAGCTATTCTCTGGGTTGAGCAGACCACCAACACAAACAACCCTCTTTCAGAGACAAAAGGATCAATATTACCAAATTTTCGAATGGGAAAATTTAATTCCTTCCTAAAATTTTGAAAAACATGAACATTTTACAAAATCTTTATCTTTTTTTCCTTCATCTTTTCTCTCTTAATAAAAAATTTATAGTTTCAGGAAGTTGATAATGGAACATTTAAGTTTATACAGAAACATATCCGCTATTTGGAATGCTGGTCTAGTCTGGAGACCTTTAAGATTTCACAGAAAATTCAGTTGTGTTGGATTTTGGTCATCTCTAGACACAAATTAATTGTTCCCTTAATGAATGTCCCATGATCCTATCCATTAAAAGGCTGAATCCACCCATGATCTAGAACCTCCCTGTCCAACAACATAGATGTAACCTGTCTAAGTCTTTGCAAAATGGAACTCCATTCAGACGTTCTCATCGATACTGATTGGGCACTCTTCTGAGCAGGGTCCTGCTCCTGGTGCTGAACATAGAGCAGGGATCCAGAGTCCCCAATATCACCCAGTGTCCTTCATGGCAGAGGGTGGGGAGAAGTGCATGCATATGCAAGCATGGTACAATTGCATCATGTGCATGTATGTGTATGACGGCATGTGCCTGAGCATGTGTTTGCAGGAGCATGCACAGATGTGTGTGTACACATGCCTTGTCATTCTCCACAGGATGGCCAAAAATGGTGACCAGAGACCTGGAGATCGGCAGTGTTGGTGTGGGAATTGATGGAACAAGAGAAGGCAACATGTCACCTAGAATAGTATGCATTTTAACTACTGTCAAAATAGACATTTTAATTACTGTTACACAGAAACTAGAGATTTTGATTCCACTTGTTAATTTCTGAACCACACCTTTCTCCAAGTCTGTTCATCAAACTCCCATAAAAAGAGAAAAGAGAAGAATGGCTGTCCTCCTGGTACCCATTAGGTTGGCTTTGAATTTCCAAAACCTGAAGCTTGAAATCACATATTCCAATGAGATGCCCACAGCTGGGTGTAACTGGCTCTTCTTCCACTCACACCCTCTACCCCAGTGTCATTCCCAGGATTCCTGAACAGGCCATCAATGTTCCCCCTCCCACACTCGTCTTAAGCTGCTCCCCTTTCTGCCTATTTACCCTGCACTCTCAGACCCTCATTTCTTTAAAATCCTCTCTGTTGCATGTCCTTTGCAATTTTTATTAAGAGCTTCAAAGGATGGGGACTTTCTTTTCTTTCTGTTTCTTCTGTTCACTTAGCTGTCGTCATCTTGTAGTGCCTCGTGTTGTTTTACTTCTGTGTATGTGAATGGTCTGCCCAGTTATGTCCTGTGTCTAGTTCCTCTTTGCACTGTGTGGAGACACTGTTCTGCTCTCAGTGAATTCTTGCTCATCCTCATGATGGCTGTTGCATGGACTTCTCAGCCCTGCAAGGCACAGTCACAGTCCACTCAAAGGGCTCGTTCTCTGACTGCAATGCCAGCCTGCAAAACTGAACTGACAGAATTTACTGGTGGGTCTAAATCAAGAGGGATTGGGCCCGCTTTCCCTGGTGAAGCATGCACTGAGGATGATGTTGGTAGAATCTCAGTCTCCTCTTGTTTTGGGGCCCCATTTAAAGGCAGCAGTGTCCATAAAATCAGAGGACTTGGGCTGGATTGAGGAATTGCAGAATGAAGTCATTGTCCTGCTTCAGCTTCATTCTTATGTAGTGGGGATGGGTTGGTGTTCCATTCTCACCTAGTAGGGCTACGGTGGCCTGTGAGTGCCAACTTGGTGGCTGGACACACAGAAGTCATTGAACCCAAGGACAGAGGGCTTCATGGCAGCAGCTCAGGTGTTCGCCTTGTCCACAGAAGGGGATTCAGTAGGAATCACTGTGTGAGTTTCTCCCATTTCCTTTTCAGACGGGAAGCTGTATGATGCGTACGTCTTGTACCCCAAGCCTCAAAAAGAAAGCCAGAGGCATGATGTGGATACTCTGGTGTTGAAGCTCCTGCCCGAGGTGCTGGAGAGACAGTGCAGATACAAGTTGTTCATATTCGGCAGGGATGAATTCCCTGGACAAGGTACGGTTCAAGTGCGGTACCAAATAGTAAATGAAAAAAGGGAAGGAGACCCCTGTCTGCCTTCATGTTACATCCAAATGGCGCACTCTGCTCACCTTGCCCTGAGAGTCCTGGGAAGGCCGTGACTGGAGCTCAGGCAGGTGGAACAAGCTGCCTTCTCTCATCAGGCTCATCAAGATGCCCCTGTCTGGGATTCTGGTTGCAGTACTGCGAGCCCATCTTTGGAGTGAGGATGTAGCTTACCTGTTCATGTCAACAGGTGGCCAGGAACAGAGTCTTGGTTAAAACACTGAAAGAAGAAAATGATCATTTGACCTCCTGTAGTTGAGTCTATCTACTGAATTCCCCAATTGGTTTAAATATACAAGTCAGGTAATGTTAAAGCTGATTTATGAAGCTCAACTCCACAGGCTCCTTCTCTATCCAAAAGAAGTGGAAGTTTTTAATATACTTCTCCCATTTAATTTTGGCATGAGGTTTGGGGCAATTCATTCAGTATCTGAACCTCACTTGTCTCATCTGTAAAATGGGGATAGGGATGCTTCTTTAACACCACTACGAGAACTAACCTGAGTGGGCTCCAGTAGGGAGCTTAGGACAGCGTCAACATTTGATACGAAAGTTCCCTCTCATCTCCTTTGTTTTCCTTTGAGGACTGTGCTGCAAAATGTCTGTGATCTAAAATCCCTTTTTTTTTTTTTTTTTGGTACCAGGGATTGAACTCCCCAGCACTCAACTACTGAGCCACATCCCCAGCTCTATATTCGTGTTTAATTTAGAGACAGGGTCTCACTGAGTTGCTTAGTGCCTTGCTTTTGCTGATGCTGGCTTTGAATTCATGATCCTCCTGCCTCAACCTCCCGAGCTGCTGGGATTACAGGCGTGTGCCATTGCGCCTGGCTATCTGTTTTTTACTCACTAGGAAATACATTTGCTCACTAATAGAGCAGTTAATCACTGAGTTCTTCCATACACGGTGTACTTGTCCAGATACTAGAAACCCAAAGGAAGCCAAACACTCAAAGAACCTGTCCTTGAGGAGGTGACAGTCTACTCTTATATCCCCTTGGAGACAACTGCACACCAAATATCTGCAGAGCCAGGCGTTTGGAGAACGCTCCCCGCCTCCCCACCCCGGCCCCCGCCCCGCAAGCCATCATCAGTGGGTGTTATTTGGTTTCTAAATCAGTCACATAAATTCTGGTTATGTAAATAGCTGTGAAGAACCAAAGGAAAATACAAATGTTAGACTAACACAACATTTGAACTAACTACGTTTTTCCTGTCCTTCTAAAATTTATTTTATAAATCTGTTCATTCTGTAATATATAACAGACCTTCAGCTATTGGGGGGATACAAAGCTAGGCATGATAAATACTTGTTAGCTAGGGAAACTGACATAACAACAGACTTCCCCAAACAAAACAAAACACAAGTAATGAGAGAGCCAGGAAGGCTTCAAGTTTTATTAATCCATTCCTGCCCAGATCGGGTTGATTTTAAAGGCCATTTCCTCTCCTCAGTGACCCTTTCTAATGTGCTCCGTAGCATTACCACCCAGGCTGAGTCTTCATTCTTTGTTTCCAGCTGTGGCCAATGTCATTGATGAAAACATTAAGCTGTGCAGGAGGCTGATCCTCATTATAGTCCCCGAGTCGCCCAGCTTTGGTCTGCTAAAGAACATGTCAGAAGAACAAATCGCCGTCTACAACGCCCTCATCCAGCTTGGGATGAAGGTCATTCTGATTGAACTGGAGAAGATTGAGGACTACACCACCATGCCAGAGTCAATTCAGTACATGAGACAGAAGCACGGGGCCATCCAGTGGAGGGGGGACCTCACAGAGTCATCTCAGTGTGCCAAGACCAAGTTCTGGAAAAGAGTGAGATACCACATGCCGCCCAAAAGGTTCCCGCCTTCCTCAGGTCCACTCACTGAAGCTCGTACCCTGCAATTTCCCAGCCAGCAAATGGAGACCAAAATGGGGCTCATCAGCCGCTGACTGAGAATTGTCCCCTCATGGTATCTTGTGGCTGGCCAAGGACGCATTTCATTTGGGCTCTCTGCCCCAAAGCTTGCTGTTTTGTGCTGCTTGGTTGGTTTGTTTTGATCAGACTTAGTTTTTTAGGGAAAGACATCACTTCTCCCGAGGGCCCGTGAACTTAATGGGTCCTGGAGACTGGTGAGCTCTCACTGAGCAAGGGATGGATGTGGCATTGCAGCCCCTTGGGAATGGGATACGGAGGGCTGTCGAGGTGGATATACAGAGTCAGAAAGCTTGACTGTGAGTTCTGAAGTTGGAGCTTGGGTAGTCTAGGGATGGCGGGAGGGCAGTCAGTGACTTGAGGAAGACTGGCCAGAACCACACTTTGTTTCTCCCCACCCAGTGTCCACAGGGCTCTGCTCCCCAGCAGTATTTGAGGTGCTGGAATCCCCCTTACTCGCTCCTCCAGGGCAGGCAAACAGCTGTAACCACAGTTTTGGCCTGGTGTCCTTGGAAGCTACTTTGCGGTCAGCTAGAACAGTGGGAGACCCCCTGGGGTACCACTATGAGTGTCCTGTGGTCACCCACCCAGGGAATCCTGTCCTTTGAAAGACTTTACCTGCTAAACCAAAATAAGTAAGATTTTTTTTTTTTTTTTTTTTTAAATCAGAGAATGAACCCCGGGGGCAGTTAACCACTGAGCCACATCTCCAGCCAGCCCTTATTGTTTTTTTATTTTGAGACATGGTCTTACTAAGTTGCTGAGGCTGTCTTTGAACTTGTGATCCTCTGCCTCAGCCTCCTGAGCTGCTGGGATTATAGATGTGTGTCATCATGCCTGGCAAGGAGTAAGAATTTTTTTTGATTTTTCCTTTTGGACGCAGGAGGTGGAGTAATTCTGGTCTGAGGAAAGCAACATGTGTTTTCCCCTAGTGAGTGCGCCCTTCTCAAAGGTTAGTTTATGATTTAACGATTTGCCAACAATTTTTAATACTAAGAATTAGCTGTCAGGCCTCTTCACTACTTTGCAAAACCTAACTTGAGGACATTAGTTACAGTTGAACTCTCTCAAGCCATGTTTGATGATCCCAAGATTTAAACAGTGGCCCGTGTTAAGGAAGAGCTATCCAGGGCTGGAAGTGAGTCAGCCCAGGGACAGGAGGCCAGGCCCAGCCACAGTGGTCCCACGTGGAAGGAGGACAGGGTGGCCAGGAGGGGGCAGGGTCCCACAGGCCTGTGCCCCTGGAGTGTCTGTTGCAGGTGCTACAGAGCCCTCTCCATTCTTTTAATTGACATTTCAAGGTGATTTAGCACAAAGCCCTCATTCAGTATTGTTATTTAACACCTGCTTCTAAAAAAGTTAATTGTGGCAAAAATAGATGAACCTAAAAATTTACCATCCTAGTTATTTTTTAAGTGGATATTTCAGTGACATCAAGCACATGCCCACTGGCTGTGATATTGTCACCACCAGTCACCTCGGAGCCTTTCCATCTTTGCAGACTGAAATGGTGTGCCCAACAAAGAAGCACCTCCCCCTCCTCCCCCAGACCCTGGCAACCGCCAATCTTCTGGTCTGTGAGTCTGACCTCACGGAGGTGCAGTGGAGCAGCGTGCATCTCCCTGTGGCTGGTTAATTTCGCAGAGCAGAGCGCCCTCCAGGTTCATCCTGTTCTTACACAGCGCCCCCTGTCGTCTTTCCTCCTTTTAACATGTTTTCTGCCTAGCGGGGAGAGTGAGAGGAGAGCATAGACTCTACTTCTGGAAAGTCCTCAAAAGCAAGAAGCTTATCAAGGGACCTTCTCATCAGATGATTGTCATTTCTTTCTTTGTTTACCACTCTGACATGAAAATTCCTCATGGAGGATTTGAAGTACAATACCTTTCTTCTTGCACCTGTTCCCCATCCCATCCCCTCACCCTCCAGGTTTTGGTCTGTCCTAGGAGGTTATCTGCAATACTGGAGAAGCTGGGGACTGCAGGCTGGCTGAGGGCAGCTCACATTACAGTGCCTGGCTTGGAACCTGGCCACACCAGGCAGCCAGCTTGGAGCAGGGGGCACTCATCTCAGGGAGCAGAAAAATCTGGACTCCAGTCGGGGAGTGATCACCAGCACACGCTTTGTAGAGAATCTGGGGAATCCCCCTTGTTCTGATTTGGAACTCCCCTGTCCTTCCCAGTCATTTCCTCCAAAAGAGGCAGGAAAGCAGATGCAGTGTCCTTTTCAGGAAGTAGGGGACAAATTGGGGTGTGTCCTCTCTAAGGGGCTCCTAGTATGCCTGTGAATTTCAGGAAATGAATTCTCCAGTGACTGCTTATTTATTCTGATGGCATTCACTGGACCTCAGTTGAGACTGGTTGTAGAAAAGAAATCCGAACTCATCAGAAGAAAAAGTATTTTTGGAAAAACCTCTGATTTATGGGATACCCGGGCCTGTTGGAGAATTCAATTCCAGAACTTTACTTTTAGGTCAAAAAGCTACCCCCATCCCATATGTGTTTGAAGTTTCTTTCTGTTTAAAAGTATTCAAGATGTATTATTAATTCAAGCTGTAATAATCTTAATGGATTACACTAGCATATTTTAATATTACTTTTATTAAAATATATTTTGTGTCTTATGTGAAAACTCTCTTTCTCAAAAAGATGACATCTCACATGTTTGAATGCTGTGCAGGGTTCTCCAGGTGGAACGATTTCATTGCTGTGCTCAGAGATTTGCAAAAATATGGACAAATATTTTAAAGATCAGTAAGGGTTACCCCATAGCAGTGATCTCCGCCTTTGATAATTTGATAAAGGCCATGGACATCTCTCTGTAAAACAAACAATCTTCGCTATGTTTTTAGAAGTTTGGCTGACGTGTTTTCAAGCTCTTCAGCGGAAACTTCTAATGAGTCAATAGACATGGATGTGGGGTTAAGATGCTTGCGTTAGCCTTTTGTTTTGTGTTTGTTTCTATATTTATAAGACCTGATCTCAGAATTTTTGAGGACTTTATCTAGAGGGTCAGTGATTAGCAACTTGGGTGAATGAGTTAGATCTAAATATTCTTTGAGAAGAAACTCAGCCTGACAATTTCAGTGGTACTTGATCTAGCCCAGAGGCACACAATGCATCACAGGTCTCCGGAGCTGCAGCATCCTGTCATCTACAGGGGACACAGTGTGAGATCCCAGTGGATGCCTGAAGCTCCAGATGGTACTGAACCCCGTAAGCACCATCTTTTTTTCCTATAATACCTACTCAAGATAAAGGTGAATGTGTAAATTAGACACAGTAAGAGATTAACAATGATAACTACTAATACAATAGAGCAATTGTAACAATATACTGCAATAAACATGCAGTAAATGTGGTCTCTCTCTCTCTCTCTCTCTCTTTCTCTTTCTCCCATGAAACATCTCACTATGCTGGGCACTCTGCTTCCTGAGTGGGTGTGAGATGGCACCAAGCTTGGGTGGACCAGGAATAGCTGGAACCCTGGGGAGTGAGACCCCAGATAAGGGGGCTACTGTATTTCTTCCTGGTGTGTCTGGAGTCTTAAGCCTTTCCTGGTCAGCCAGTGTGCCTTATTCACTTGTGTGGGCTGTGATGGGAACAGGTTACCATGGGGGAGACTAAGGCCCTGAAGAATTGAAGTGACTGACGGAAGCCTCTAGTAATCTGAGATGGAAAGGGACAGGTGTCTTGTGTTGAGAGCCACAGCCAAAGGGGCCCCAGTAAACTTCCAGCTGATTGGCTCACAGCAGCCCCAGCAAACTTCCAGCTGCCAGCTGATTGGCTCCTCTGTGGTGATGCTCATTGGGCTGTTCCCCCGCCCTTTCAGACCACGGAGCTGCTCATTGGGGGACTCTTTTGGCTCCGCCCATGCGACCCAGCCAATCGGCCTCAAGAGCCGGAGGAGTGGGGGTTGAGAGGTTCGCTGGAAGCGGGTGGTGGCAGTTGGGCTCTGAGGGAATTCCTGAAGAGCTAGTGTGGTGCTGCGTGTGTTCTAAAAATAAAGTTCGTTTGTGCTTGACAAATGGCTTGTCAATTGTGCCCAGCCAGACTGCGGCAGTCTTGGTCTTCTAAGTTGTGCTTTGATTTATATGAGCCCCACCCCTAGCAGGATGCATTGGCCTTAACTAATGTCCATCTCTAGCCTGGACTAGAGAGTCCACTGCTTCCTAGGAATCTGGAACCTGGAGGTTGTGTGCTTGGTGATTTTAAGAGGAAAGGGGACTCACCATCTCCACACTACACCTGTGCAGCCCTTCAGAAGCTGATCAACCTCTCCGAGTTCCTTCATTTTTGTGGTGGCGCGAGTCAAGTAAGATGAGGTCTGAAGTTCGGTATGGGCATTATAAATAGTGGTCATTTATATGCAACTTGGACACACTTGAAAGAACTCTGCCCATGCTATTTGGAGAAAGCTTTCATTACAGAGAAAAGCATCAGTAGACATTGAATGTTTTGCAGAAGGCAGCTTATGGTGTGGGGGAAATCCTAATCTACTACTCAAAGTCAGACAGAAAAAGCCCGTGAAGACAGGGTGCTCTCTATCTGGATCTATGGGACCTGCATCTGTGCTGTACTGTGAGGGCTCAGCTGGAGGATCTGTCCAGGCCCCCCAGCTTTGCCTGCTGGTAGCGTTCTGTCCTGCTTACACAAGGACCCCAGTCTTTCCTGATTGCCCTGGATATTCACGAGACTTCTTTCCTGATGGAACCTCTGATTATTGTCCTTACTACTTGGTCTTGATTGGAGGGACTTAAGGAGTTTTGAAGGCCAGTCTTGGGAGGCAGATGCTAAATACTGCTGAAAGCCAGGACTAATTTTCAGTAGCGACCACTTGGCCAGGTAGTAACCCAGGCCAAGGAGCATTTGGAGGAAGAACCTTCAAAAGGCATCTGCTATTGACAGTGCCATCCCTAGCTTGGGCCTCCCAAGGACTAGGCTGGAGTAGAGAGTACAGGGTCACCCCTGCCCCAGCCTTAAAGTCAGTCCCACCATCTCAGACCATCACCAATTGTTCC